AATGTTTGTAATACTGTTTGTAAACCACTTGAGTTACTATTTAATATGTCACTCTCTGTTGGTGTTTATCCCAAAGTATGGAAATTAGCTAAAGTTATGCCGTTGTTTAAAAAGGGTGATAGACACTCTCCTTCTAACTACAGGCCAATATCTCTACTGTCTACTGTTGGCAAAGTTTTCGAACGTGTAGTTTTCAATCATATCTATAATTATTTCATAGAAAATTCGTTGTTTTATCAATATCAGTCTGGTTTCTTGCCCGGACATTCTACTTTATATCAACTGATTGAAATGTATCATAATACATGTCTAGCACTCGAAGAAAAAAAAAGATACATGTATCGTCTTTTGTGACATCTCAAAAGCTTTTGATAGAGTTTGGCATAAAGGTTTGTTTATTAAGTTAAAATCCTATGGAATAGACGGAGAGCTATTGGCTTGGTTGAAAGACTATTTACATCAGAGACATCAAAAAGTGTGTTTTAATGGGTCTTTTTCTAAATTAGGTTTTATAGATGCTGGGGTTCCACAGGGTTCTATTCTTGGCCCTCTTTTATTTCTAATTTATATTAATGATATAGTAGATGTATTCGATTCAGCTTCAAGACTTTTCGCAGATGACACTTCTCATCAATGTTCTTCTTCCTCCTATCAAGAAATTCAAACTATCCTTAACAAAGACCTTGAATCTCTTAATTCATGGGCTAAAACATGGCTTGTAACTTTTAATCCTGACAAAACGGATGTACTTTTCATCTCTAATAATAATGAAATAGAAGGTTTATTAGAATTAGAATTTGATGGAAATATTTTAGATTTCACTGATAGTCACAGACATCTAGGTGTTATTCTCAACTCAAGTATTAACACATTGTGATTTAGATTTGATATTGTATGGTAATAATGATCTTTCTCTTGAAACAAACTCGAAAATTGTTTTGAATGTCCAAAACTTTATTAAATCTAGTAATAGGTTCACTTGACGTCATCCGCCTAAACTACCCCCATCTCTCTCTCTCTCTCTCTCTCTCTCTCTCTCTCTCTCTCTCTCTCTCTCTCTCTCCCTCCCTCCCCGCAAAATATGTAGTTAGTGTATTTGTTGCCATATGGCTATTGCGTTGTCTAACTATATTTTGTTATATATTGGGGAAAGGGTGTTTCATAAGTTGTAATAACTTGTACCTAATCCTCTGGTAATAATTTCTGCAATAAAATATGTTTAATTAAAAAAAAAAAAAATCATAGAGAAATCTCATCAATCTTTAAAATGTTCGCTTTTGAATCCTCCATCCCTCGACGGATTTCATCCTATAGTACACTTGCCTCAAATCAAGATTGAGGTGCGTTTTAAGAACTCTGGGACATGTGTATTTGGATTGTTAATTACGTCATCTTAACGATGACGTCATTATTACGTCATACAACTAGTGCGTACTGATGAAGCATGGAACTGAGTGTCGTTTGTATATTTTCGTTTTTCCATTTGGCCGTTTCCACTATGGATATGAATATGAAGGAAATGGAATTTATTGCCAACGAGTTGTCGCCAAAGGAGTGTAAAATGCTGGCAGAGGCGTTACATAGAAAGAAATTTCAGTTGCGGCAACCTGTAACAGGCGTTGGCGAAGCAGATGGTACTTGTCTGAGCAAGTTACTCCATTGGGATAGCACGGAAGGCAAAGGTAAAACATTCAACATGCTTGCATTAAGACTTAGTCAAATTGGTAGAAATGATATTGCGGACAAAATTTCAAAAGAAATATATCACGAACAAGCTGAAGCATTACATAAAAATTTCCTGGACGATCCATTTCGATCTATGATAGTCACCAACTCAATTCTACTGGCCAATGATCAACCTGTTGAAACTATTGGGAAGTCAAATGTGGTCGATAATTCTTTATCAACTACTGGGCTGGCGATGGTCATTATAGGTACTCTGTCTTTATTCATGCTTATAGTGGTCGTTTTTCGTAAATGTTGTCCTGGTTGTTTTTGTCGGACTTGGCGAAGATTGGCTCCAGATACCGTGGTCGATGTATGTGATCTTTGTTGTGGGGAAGTCCATGTGTGCTGTGTTGAGATGAAAAGAGATTATAAACAGTTTGTTGTTGGGGTAAAGCCAGTGGAAGAGGATGTTCTAGCACTACTGCCAAGTATAGAGGAATCGGTAACGATACAGCCAAACGCCGAGTGAGCTTGTTAACTAATTACCAAATAAAGAGGACTCGGGAACTGTACAACAAAACACCGATTGAACTTGTTAATTACTACCAAATAAAGAGGAATCAGGTACTGTACAACAAATCGCCGAGTAAGCTTGTTGACTTACTACCAAATAAAGAGGAATCAGGTACTGTACAACAAAACGCTGAGTGAACTTGTTAACTGACTACCAAATACAGAGGACTCAGGTACTGTACAACAAAACTCCGAGTGAGCTTGTTAACTGACTACCAAGTAAAGAGGAATCAGGTACTGTACAACAAAACACCGAGTGAAGTTGTTAACTGACTACCAAATACAGAGGACTCAGGTACTGTACAACAAAACGCCGAGTGAACTTGTTAACTGACTACCAAATAAAGAGGACTCGGGAACTGTACAACAAAACGCCGAGTGAACTTGTTAACTGACTACCAAATAAAGAAGACTCAGGTATGTACAACAAAACGCCGAGTAAGCTTGTTGACTTACTACCAAATAAAGAGGACTCAGGTACTGTACAACAAAACGCCGGGTGAACTTGTTAACTGACTACCAAATAAAGAGGACTCAGGTACTGTACAACAAAACGCCGAGTGAACTTGTTAACTGACTACCAAATAAAGAGGACTCGGGAACTGTACAACAAAACGCCGAGTGAACTTGTTAACTAACTACTAAATACAGAGGACTCGAGAACAACAAGACGCCGAGTGAACTTGTTAACTGACTACCAAATAAAGAAGACTCAGGTATGTACAACAAAACGCCGAGTAAGCTTGTTGACTTACTACCAAATAAAGAAGACTCAGGTATGTACAACAAAACGCCGAGTAAGCTTGTTGACTTACTACCAGATAAAGAGGACTCAGGTACTGTACAACAAAACGCCGAGTGAACTTGTTAACTGACTACCAAATAAAGAGGACTCAGGTACTGTACAACAAAACGCCGAGTGAACTTGTTAACTGACTACCAAATAAAGAGGACTCGGGAACTGTACAACAAAACGCCGAGTGAACTTGTTAACTAACTACTAAATACAGAGGACTCGAGAACAACAAGACGCCGAGTGAACTTGTTAACTGACTACCAAATAAAGAAGACTCAGGTATGTACAACAAAACGCCGAGTAAGCTTGTTGACTTACTACCAAATAAAGAAGACTCAGGTATGTACAACAAAACGCCGAGTAAGCTTGTTGACTTACTACCAGATAAAGAGGACTCAGGTACTGTACAACAAAACGCCGAGTGAACTTGTTAACTGACTACCAAATAAAGAGGACTCAGGTACTGTACAACAAAACGCCGAGTGAACTTGTTAACTGACTACCAAATAAAGAGGACTCGGGAACTGTACAACAAAACGCCGAGTGAACTTGTTATCTAACTACCAAATAAAGAGGACTCGGGAACTGTACAACAAAACACCGAGTGAACCTGTTAACTAACAACAGGAATGATACATTAAAATGCCGCCTGCCAGAATTGTCTATATACTGCCAGGTCGCCATATGATTTTTTTTCAGCCAACTACAATGTTGGAGGAATCGGGATCAGGACAACGAAACGCCTTGGCTGATGAGGTTATGTATAGAGAATAGCACAGTAACAAAGCGTCATGTAAACGTGTCCGTTTACTGTTAGATAGAGAGCAATAGTATAATACACATAGCACTTGTCAATCTATCAACGAAACCCTGTTTGTCTATTGAAAACAGTGTTCAATACAACGACTCTTTAGATCATGGATATATTTCTAAACACACACAAGATCAAGAAAAGACACAAATGAACTCTAGATGATGTGATAAATTATCGTTTTTATTTTCTTCTTTTTTATAGATTTTGTCCGCAAGGATTATCTGCATCAAATAAAATGCATAAAAGCAATATCAAACGAGTGCGGGGTTTCTCATAATTTTGTTAGTAGTAGGCTGTGTAGTGAAAGTAGGAGGCTGGCGAAGCAAGCCGACCCGAGCTGCAACGCTGCGAGGTGCGGGTGGCCTGCCGTGTACGTTAGTCGTGTACGGAACGTTATTACGGAACATGATTGGTGTAGGCGACCACATGATCGAAGAAGCCGGTCAAATTGGCTGACGACCGGCTCTTATGGAAAACCCTGGAGTGTCAATGCACATCGTTTAACTGTCACGTCTTTGCAAATTTGAGCAATAGATAAGCTACTATTGAAAACTGTACGTAAATCGACTCTTCTGTGACGTCACTCTTTTTATACGGTTCTTTTTATATTATGCGCTGTCTATATCCGGTTTTGGAGTTTACCTTGCACCTTGGCGTTTTTAATGTGTTTGCTTATCACAAGAATGAAGCTTAGGAATAAGGCTGGGAATTTTGTTAACGAGGTAAATCTAATAAGGACGGTATACTAACTACGAGAAGAAACGCACGACGGAGGCTCAGCAGAGCTATGGACACGGATATTGTATTATTATAATCCATTTCGTGCCACTTACAATTTGATCAAGATTATTAATGATTGTGCAGAAAGTAAACGCTCGTAACAGGACAAAATATAGACAGAACAGCCAGTGGCGTAGCAAATGTTTTTTTAAGAGTATATGTTTTTAAGAGGAAGCCCAGGGGTAAAGCTCCAATGGGTGTGTGTGTGGTGGGGGTGGGGAGAGCCCCCTGAAGCCGTCGGGATTTAGCTTATCAGAAATATCTATTCTATTTACACCAACACATTTTTTATTCAACAAAAACAACAAAATGCAGTAATTATTTTTGCTAAAAATACATAATCCCTGTTTCATCAACTATATGTCAAACTTAGATAAAGTGTGCCAGTCTCTTGCCCGATTTCGCGTTAGCAAAGGTTTCCACTGCCCTGCAAATATCTACTTCCTGCTCTCTATGAATATTCAACGTTGCCAGTGATGCTAATCTCTCCGTTGTCATTGTCGACCGAAGGTAGGTCTTTACCCTTTTCATACTACTGAACGACCTTTCTGCAGTGGCAGTTGTCACAGGCATCGCCAGCAGAAGTGATGGTATGTTTGTAATATTTGGATATAGCTGAGGGTCAGTGTGATTTAGACAAGTGATGATGTCTGCTGGCCTTTCGTCAGTTGGCACCATTGACCATCGAGCCTTCCAACGTTCGATTTCTTGCCGGAAAGTGTCAGGATCGGTCAGATCGGCATCGTAGGTGTTGGCATCGTATATTGCTTGAATCATTTCTGCATTAAGATGCGTATCAAGCTTTTCAGGAAGAAGGGCTTCACCTTTGAACCTGCCCTCACTGTCAACCAGTCTTATTTCCAGTTCGGTTATCAGGTGATCCAGGAAGGCAAGGTACAGTGTTACTTTCCAATAGTCCTTTGTGTTGTTCACGACTGGATTAGCGCGTTGACGTTGTATTCCAGCCCTTCGTAGTGTTGATGGTGTAATATAAAACTCGGCGGCAATTGTAACTGCTTCATCGTATAGTGCGTCCCAGACCGTATCATCTGCGCGTTCATTACGTAACAACTGAATGATAACTTTACTTTCTTTCAATGCCTGCAATAGATTGCACTTCGGTGTCTGGAGATAATTTGACAGAGACACAGTACTGCTTAGGATATGTTCTGCCACCACCAATCCGATAATGAATTCAAACCGCAGAATTGCACAGAGGCGGCCGCCAGCCTTGTCATCACCATCATCCTTTAGATGGTCAAGGCTGCTTACAACAACTGATAAGGATGCTTTGAACGTTTTGAGGGCATCTGCCCTGCTCGACCATCTAGTTTCGCAGAGAGTCCTTAATTTAGTCCTTTTTTCCATTTCGTACCGTGCGTTTTCGTTCGTAGCAAGATCGTTCTTGAATTGGAGAAGTCGTTTTGCAGAATAGTCGAAAGAAAACGCGATATCTTGGACAGTTGCCATCACATTCCGTACACAAGCCAAAGAGGAAGAATGTACGAGAGCTAAGTTCAATTGGTGAGACTTGCAATGAACGTAGGTCGCGTAAGGTGCTGTTTCTTTGATTATTGCTTGGACACCTTGAACTTTCCCGACATGTTTGCAGCACCGTCGTAGCCCTGGGCCCGAAGTTTGTTGATATCAAAGCCGTTCTGCTGCAACACGTCTAAAATGAGCACAGCGATGGTTTGGCCTTTCGTGTTTTCAGCTGTAACAAAACAGAGGAAGTCCTCTCGGACTGATACCAAAGGACCTTCATAGACAAGATATCTTATACAGATCGAGAGCTGTTCCTTTGTGGCGGTATCGGTACATTCGTCGGCTAAAACAGCAAAGTAGCGCGATCGTTGAATAGATTCTGATATTTTTCTGACTATCTGAGCAGCGCAAATATCAAGTAGTTCGTTTTGAATATCTGAAGATGTATATTTATATACTACATTCGGGTTCTTCAAGTGGTTTTCTAAAATGACGTCCCCTTTACTCAACATGGTCAAAGTGGCTATGAAGTTACTCTTCCTCAGTATGACCACGAATGGCAATATTTTGTCTGCCACATAGTAACAGTACCTCGATAATACGGCCAATGATATGCCTGGTATTCTTAACATCACTTTTGTGTGACGAGGAAAGTTTCGAAATGATTGAATCTTTATTGCCGGTAACAACATCCATAAAATTTTCTGCACGTGTTTTGCTTTTTTTTTTTTTTTTTAATTTTTTCCCCTCAGCTCAGCAATCATTATTAGGGGCTGCCAGAGTTGAGGAGCTCTGGGTTGTGCACGTGTTTTGCAGTTATTGTGAATTTCGGAACACTCATGGCGTTTCACTAACATGGATAAGTTCACCCAGTCTGATACTCCTGGCTTTACGAAGAGACGAGTTTTATCAGCCTTATCTCCAAACAATAAACAACAAGCACAGAACACAGAGTCATCCGATACTGAGTATCTCATCCAGCTGTGGTCATTTAACCAGCTATGATTGAATTTTCTGTCTCGTCCATAAATCTTTCTGTAAACAAACAAACAAAAATAACAGTCACACCGTCCCCTAATATATGTATATCCAGGCAGTAAGATTTTTTCCCCGCAGATTATTAATTGAATGGCAATGCACAGTGAAACTTCATCTTTAGACCACTTCAAAATCAAAACAAATTAGTTCAGTCTCTGAAAGCCTTGTTCTAACGCATTTTGTAATAATTCGGCAAAATGTAATGTTACAATTTGCGTTAAAGCAAATAATGCATATTGTAATACAACGCATTTTGTAATAATTCGGCAAAATGTAATGCGTTGTAACAAAGCCTTCTATACGTCTTCTTACTAAATAACACCAACTCAGAATTGAGAATAACTCCAAAACCAATTTACCACCGAGTATACCTGTCAGATATGTGACCAATCAACAATACATGTATTCATGTACATGTACTGTATTTGTGCAATTTTTAGAGCTCTAAATATGTTACACGACAGTCGTCTGTACTACGTATACGTCATGTGCTCTTGTATATAGCAATGTTTTTTTTTTTATAAAATTGGTATTCTAATTTCAATGCTTTCGATATGCACTTTATTTCAAAATTCTCAGTGGGGACTAAATAGGGTCGGCAACATGCAATATGTACGTAAGCAATGTTTCATACCAGTTAATGTAAAAAACAACAGAACCAATACTTGTATTTACATTTATTGTCGCCATACGAATTTTCAAAAACTTCAATTTTGTCGAGTCTTACAATTACCGTGACAAGATACAAGAACCTTTATTTAACGTCGTGTTTACAACAATATAACTTTAGTTCAGTAGAGCTATTCTTACGACGAAAGCTAGATTCATTTTTATTATGGAAAAAAATATTATCCGTTCCTTGAATTCACCTTACATGACAGTATTACTCCCTTTCCGTTTATGTGGGTCCGGTCGGCAGGAGTGGTGAGTGATTGGGGCCGAGGGTTTGGTGTACTAATTTAGTGATTCATCGATGGAAATCTAATCATGTTTTGAGTTCTTCTATCTTTTCCAAGTTTTATTTCCCCTTGTTGAAGAAAAAAATATTTCCGAGCATTGCATCCGCATTACAGTGCATGGATATATTTGCTACGCGATTTTCATGCTAATAGTTATTTTTTGCATTTAACTTAAACTGAGTCTGTGCGAATCACAAAGAATTGGTTTTAGAGACATACAAATAACAGTATATTAGGTATTGTTTAATAAAATCATCAACTTGTTTACCTGACTGGAAAATTGAATTTGTTAGCAGTATCCCACTTTGTCGCCAAAAGAGAACGACGAACACTGTCATCCTTCAGTTCGTTTTCTGACATGACGTTGATATCAGAATAAGGAGGTTTATACTCGGAAGGCTGAGAGTTGTCTTGAGATGTGTCACTAGACATAATTTCAGAAAGGCTGGTCTTCTTGTTTTCACTTCCTAAATTGTCTTGTGATACCACAGATCCACATGTCCGGTTTACGTTAAAAAGTTCGGTAATTTTACGCTGTGCCATTTTTTAAGTTTAGCGGGTACAAACTATATAAACCAGAAATAGAATTGTTACAACAATAACCAGAACCAAATATATTGAAGGGCTAAATATTCCGTATCGTAATGTATATATATAGATATACTGCATACGGTCGGAAAAGAAAAAATGATAGTTTGATGCTATATATATATATTTGTTTTTTTGTACTTTTATTTCAAACTTTTATTTTAACGTAAAAATAAAAGTAAGAAAAAATTTCTCAAGCGAATTTGAGTGTAAGCTCAAGCATACAAGCATACATTATTGCTACGCCACTGACAGCGCTCGTTTTGTTTTCTTTGAGAGCGTAGTTATATCATATTCTAGATAGAACTTGTGAAGTGCTGAACATAGGTAATGGAGAAGTACAAGGCCTTTCTGATGTAGCTACCCGGAATCCTCCTTAAAGTATAATGTCATTTCCAATACTACTAGCAGTATAACCGATCATGATCGCAAAAAAAAGTATGGTGAGGTCTAATTTTATGTCAAAGTTTTAATGAAATTGAAAATAATGGGTGATTATCCCATTAAAGGTGAAATATTAAGGGAAAACATGGGTTTTGAAGACAATTTTGCAAATAAAGGAGACAAGATTTGACCAAAAAAAGTCGACAATCATTTTCAAATTACCAAAACATATAAAATCCAAATCCAAACAGAGAGTATCGCTCTGACGTCTTCCAAATATTTAAAATATCGATTTAACGAATATAACACAAAACGAGTTCAGTGATTACTCCTTGTTATAATCACTCTGAACGTTGTTTAATAAAGCCACAAGTAAGAACATGTTTTTGTTCAATAAAAGTAATTTACTAAATAAAAAACAGACTAATTTTAACAATATTGATTTGAACCTGGTATATGTCAACTAGATACAGCGATGAACAAAGTCACAATGTTCAAAAATTCGTTTTACCTTTTACAGAAATATTCATCTAATTTCCTCCTGAATGTCGTCAATGAATTCCTTACATTTGTTTTACATTTTCAAGACAACAAACGTGACGGACATTGAAACTATAAAGATCTCTCCTGTTCGAGCGTGCTCTACTGAATTATTCAGAAGATACCAGACGATTCATTACAGACTCTATAATACATGCAATTTGGAATTCTGGTATTGTAAATCTTACACGAAACACGACGCTATAATAAAAGAGTTATTTTGATAACCACATCAAGTTATCTCGACATTATCTTTTCAGACTTTCAGTACTAAAGATGTTTAAATATTACACCACGTGGCGATGTGTAATCAGCCAGGCAGGCGTATGTACCAGTAATATCGCAGGCCTGCGGAAGGCATTCTAATGTTCTGTGTGATGAGGCTCCGAATGTAATGTTAGGCCATGATATGTATCTATCGGTGATAAAATATTTTCATATCAAAAGGGGCTATTTTCACCGAAATATGCAACTACAAACACGCGCGGAGAGAGCAGCAGTCCCCCCAACCCCACCCCCTGGACTGATATCCTGGTAACTTCAACACAAAACGATATATCATCTACTGCTCGCTTCTCTACATGTAACACCGTAACCTGGTTCATTCACGTTTCATCTGTACACCGACAACAGCAGCAGTCTTTTTTGTAAATTCGCCTGTTATGTGTTTGGAGTATAACGTTATCAATGGTAGAACTAAAACTGTGATGAAAAACCAGAAATGTGTAGAACATCGGCCATACTACCGCTCGGAATATTAACTCTTGTTGTTCTCTCTAGTGCCTACGTACAAAATACTCACGAGTTGTATACGACGCTTTTTGAGAACTACACGAACATATTGAGGCCTGTGCAAAACGAACAAGAAACTGTTCGAGTTTCTGTTAAATTTCTTCTTCGAGGAATTAGCGAATTTGATGAAGTGCATGGCCAGTTGTCATTGGCTACTGCTGTGGACTTACGGTGGCGGGACACAACTCTAAGCTGGAATAGGTCCGAATACAGTCCGCGCGCTCTGGTCCTACCCGAAACACAAATTTGGACACCACGTTTAGCTCTGTCCAATCCCACTGACCGAATACTTCTATTCTTTGAAGACTCGTTTCCAGTTCGGTTAAATTCGGATGGCTCCGTGATTTGGCTGCAAGGCGGTACTATTATTTCTACCTGTGTGCCCAATGTGGAGAAGTACCCTTTCGATGTTCACAAATGTTACTTGGTTATACTAGTAATACCTTACACCCGTGCTGAGGTCCAACTTTACCCGTCAATCGATCTGTCCACCTTTGAGAAGTTTGGTGAGTGGGAGCTCGGTAATAATAGTATCGAAGAACAATTATATGGCGGATTTTTCTCCTCTATTGTGATTAGTTTAGAAATCAAAAGGAGACCGGAATTTTCTCTCTTAAGCACAATCTTGCCAATACTGTTCCTAGGTGTTCTCAACGCTTGTGTGTTCCTTCTACCACCAGAGCAAGGGGAACGCGTGTCCTATGCCCTCACTGTCCTTCTATCCTTTGCGGTCTTTCTGTCCATTATCAGTAGTGTCATGCCAAAGAACTCCGAGCCTGTACCTATTCTATGTTATATCATCACTGCCATGATGGCCATGAGTGGACTCAGCACTATATGTACTGTATTGTGTCTCCGCTGGTACTTCGCCGATCAGAAACAATCAGTTCCTTATCTACTGACCATAATGTGCCGAAAACGGAAAGGAAAACGGAGACACCAGAATTGTGACATTACCAGTGACACGGCACCTCACAAAGAGAACCAAACAGAGTCAACACAACTCGGGGAATGTCGAGTCACGTGGAGGGACGTGTCTGCGACCTTTGATATTGTATTTTTTGTCTTTTATTTAGTAGCGATTTTCGTTCTTGTTTTTATATATTTGGTACTTGTTATACAATGATAGTCTTGATAATACAAGCAGTCATGTTCATGGTGCTAACACTATTCATTGTGACATACTAGGCACTACAATTACTCAGGTACACCATCTTACACCAATCACTGTGACATACTAGACACTACAATTACTCAGGTACACCGGCTTACACCAATCACTGTGACATACTAGACACTACAATTACCCAGGTACACCGTCTTACACCAATCACTGTGACATACTAGACACTACAATTACCCAGGTACACCGGCTTACACCAATCACTGTGACATACTAGGCATTACAATTACTCAGGTACACCGGCTTACACCAATCACTGTGACATACTAGGCATTACAATTACTCAGGTACACCGGCTTACACCAATCACTGTGACATACTAGACACTACAAGTACGCAGGTACACCGTCTTACACCAATCACTGTGACATACTAGACACTACAAGTACGCAGGTACACCGTCTTACACCAATCACTGTGACATACTAGACACTACAAGTACGCAGGTACACCGTCTTACACCAATCACTGTGACATACTAGACACTACAAGTATTCAGGTACACCGTCTTACACCAATCACTGTGACATACTAGACACTACAAGTACGCAGGTACACCGTCTTACACCAATCACTGTGACATACTAGACACTACAAGTACTCAGGTACACCGTCTTACACCAATCACTGTGACATACTAGACACTACAAGTACTCAGGTACACTACACCGTCTTACACCAATCACTGTGACATACTAGACACTACAAGTACTCAGGTACACCGTCTTACACCAATCACTGTGACATACTAGGCACTACAATTACTCAGGTACACCGTCTTACACCAATCACTGTGACATACTAGACACTACAAGTACTCCGGTACACCGTCTTACACCAATCACTGTGACATACTAGACACTACAAGTATTCAGGTACACCGTCTTACACCAATCACTGTGACATACTAGGCACTACAAGTACTCAGGTACACTACACCGTCTTACACCAATCACTGTGACATACTAGACACTACAAGTACTCAAGTACACCGTCTTACACCAATCACTATGACATACTAGACACTACAAGTACTCAGGTACACCGTCTTACACCAATCACTGTGACATACTAGACACTACAAGTACTCCGGTACACCGTCCTACACCAATCACTGTGACATACTAGACACTACAAGTACTTCGGTACACCGTCTTACACCAATCACTGTGACATACTAGACACTACAAGTATTCAGGTACACCGTCTTACACCAATCACTGTGACATACTAGGCACTACAAGTACTCAGGTACACTACACCGTCTTACACCAATCACTGTGACATACTAGACACTACAAGTACTCAGGTACACCGTCTTACACCAATCACTATGACATACTAGACACTACAAGTACTCAGGTACACCGTCTTACACCAATCACTGTGACATACTAGACACTACAGATAGTCGGGTTCACCGTCTTACAACAATCATTATTATATATTAGACAGTGCATGTAGCCAGGTACTAATCATTGTGATTTGCTAGACACTGCCAGCACCATCATAGCAATATACCATACACTGTGTTTCGTGATATGTTCATCTCCTATATTGACCAGTCGAGTGTGACCTATGATATATATATATATATATATATATATATACTATGTACATCTGCATGGACCAGAAGACAAATGTGATCTATAATGTATTATATACATCCTCTGTATTGACCAATGAAATGTGAGACTAGGTGGGTTCCCTGTAATAATGTCAAGCGTGACCTGAGATGTTAACCGTCTCTTATGATTTATAATTAAACTGTGTTTCTATCGGGATGCGTTTACAGTGTTACGTTTTCTTTAAACTTTAATGCTACTAAAGTTAATGAGAAACTGTTGGTATCTTCTACATTGATGATCTAGAACGACTTACTCGTGGTAAACACATTCTGCTATCAATGTTGTAAAGGCGTGCTGCGTTCAATTTTGTTAAAACGAACGGTGTTGTTTACCCACTTAAGTTTATCTATGTGCGCTCGTACATGTATAGACCTAAAATTACAAGGCTTTTACACGTACCAATGTTAACTATGTAGACGTACCAGTGTTAGCTATGTACACGTACCAATGTTAACTATGTACACGTACCAATGTTAACTATGTACACGTACCAATGTTAACTATGTACACGTACCAGTGTTAGCTATGTACACGTACCAGTATTAGTTGTGTACCATTTGACATTTCAGAATGATAACACTAGGTCACACATTGCAAAGAGTTTGTAAGGACTTTCTTGCATCTCGGGACCTACTGACTGGCCTCCACATAGCCCCGATTTGCCCCCAGTCGAACACTTAATGAATGTATGGAATAACATTTGAACTCTATGTCACGCAGGATTAGAGACACCATAGCTGTTCGGGGAGGGCACACATTAGGGTACCCTAATTCATGACGGCCAAATGAAATTCTCGTTTGTTAAAAATTTCAGAAAATTTGAAGACGGATGGTCCAATATTCGGAGTTTACTGTTGTATTTCATATTTAGATAATTACACATAATATAACAGTAACCCGTTAAGTTGAATATATACACAAAAATATGTAAATTTACACGTGTTTGGCTTGTTTCTGAAATAACGTGTTGCTGCTTGGAATCTGAGATCGAGATACTCCAAATCAGCAGATGCCGTCAAGCATGTGGCACGTGCATTTTAATATGAACGGGAACTATTCACTGAAAACCTGCCAGCGGGATTTGATCATTTAGACTCTAAAACTCCCCATGCTAGAATTTTGATTTTCGTTTCAGTTTGTCATTAAAATAATGAGCAGGTTGCAACTTCACACGATTCATTCAGTTAGTCATTCATTATTATAATCATAACATGGTTACCCCAGGTTATACTATGACTGTTAATTTAAACTACGGATGTCGCACCACAGCATTTGCTCATTTGGCAATTCTATCCAGGTAGTTTAAAATTACTGTCAAAATTTTAAGAAAGGAAAGTTGAATTCGATATTTTTAAGTATCAGGATTATAAGATTAGACAAGAAGTAACACAATTACCGTTGGTAGGGGAAACCGATCTGTAAATAACACGCGCACCACTGACGCTGACAATCTCTCCATCGGGGTTGGTGGAGCAATTCAAACATCACGCGACTAGAGATAAGAGTATTCACATTAGTATCATGGGGCAATCTGGGAATGATTAGGCATGAAGACACAACCATATAACAGCAGGCCTTTTCTTGTCAAAGATGATGAAACTACTGGAATATTTTGGTAGATGCCTCAATATCACGTTGTTCTTTGTTTGGATAAGATTTCTTAGTAAGCAATCAGATTATACAATTAACTATACTCCGAAAAATGAACTACTGTCAAAATCAGACAGACACTACCTATTACCGGACTGTAGACTTCCTGGTAAACCTCCATCAGACAGACACTACCATTACCGGACTGTCGACTCCCTGGTAAACCTCCATCAGACAGACACTACCATTAACGGACTGTCGACTCCCTGGTAAACCTCCATCAGACAGACACTACCATTAACGGACTGTCGACTCCCTGGTAAACCTCCATCAGACAGACACTACCATTACCGGACTGTAGACTCCCTGGTAAACCTCCATCAGACAGGCACTACCATTACCGGACTGTCGACTCCCTGGTAAACCTCCATCAGACAGACACTACCATTAACGGACTGTCGACTCCCTGGTAAACCTCCATCAGACAGACACTACCATTACCGGACTGTCGACTCCCTGGTAAACCTCCATCAGACAGACACTACCATTACCGGACTGTCGACTCCCTGGTAAACCTCCATCAGACAGACACTACCATTAACGGACTGTCGACTCCCTGGTAAACCTCCATCAGACAGACACTACCATTAACGGACTGTCGACTCCCTGGTAAACCTCCATCAGACAGACACTACCATTATCGGACTGTAGACTTCCTGGTAAACCTCCATCAGACAGACACTACCATTATCGGACTGTAGACTTCCTGGTAAACCTCCATCAGACAGACACTACCATTACCGGACTGTCGACTTCCTGGTAAACCTCCATCAGACAGACACTACCATTACCGGACTGTCGACTCCCTGGTAAATCTCCATCAGACAGACACTACACATTACTGGACTGTAGACTCCCTGGTATATCTCCATCAGACAGACACTACACATTACTGGACTGTAGACTCCCTGATGATGTCCATCAGACATACACTAGTAAACATTGCTATACGTCAACCATACCAGGTTTATATTACAAATGTGTGAAAACTGAGTAGAAATCTGCAACAGTTTGGAAAGATAATGATTATTTTTTTAAAAAAAGGGGCAATAACTCTTCTAAAAATCACTGATCAGGAAAACATGCTTTCCTTTCACTAAGTCTACTTAATGAAAACTTACAGGGGATGTCTCTAGACAAGATCAAGACAGAAAAAACAGAAAGAAAAGCAGGAACAACACAAAAAAGTCAAATCAAACTGTTTCAATGCAAAACTTCATGTTTTGATGATAAAGTATACAAAGCTTGAAGGAGAGATGATGAAAACTAAGGGAGATCTCCAGGGATAATGCTAGACGCCATACCATAATATGTCTCATTAATTTTCATTGACAAAGAAAAATGTCAACAGATTTGACTCTCATGAATGTTTCCAGACATGTTGCGGTGAGACAATGCCTAGCAATAGGAAGCCTAAGTTTCAGGAGAAGGAAAACCTCTAACTGACGAAGATCATCAATGGTCTTCAATATGGTCAAGGTTGCAAGAGGAAGTACTTTTAAATCTGATTGGTCTCAAATGAGTGAAATGATCAAATCTTGTATTTTCATTCAGTGATAAGACACATATATTTGCATATTTAAACTTCATATTTCAAAAAATGTAACACTTTTCTGTAAATAAAGGTTTTTCATGATAGACCAATACTCAGAACACATGTCATTTTTTCAATAATCTTAATTTAATTTAATATTAAAAGTTAGATATCATAAGCAAATGAAATTAAATTTCATTATTTTCTTTAGCAAAACAAAACATATAACAAAATTTGTTATAAAAAAATATACAGGAATAATTCATTCAACATGGCACAAAAGCTACTTATCACAATGCTATTGAAAGTTTAGTTATCACTCACACATTGTCATGGTTATTACAAACATCGAGATGAACACTCCAGGTAAATCTTACACTAATTAATTTATAGATTAATACCTCAGGTGTAATTTTACACTGTATTTCATATCTAGATAAATACCCCAGGTAAATTGTACACCATAAATTCATATCTGGATGAATACCCAGGTAAGTTTTACATAAATTCGTTTACAGATAAATATCCCAGGTAAATTTTACACTAATTGATATCTCGATAAATACACAAGGTGAATCTTATATTAATTTATTAATAGATAAATACTCCAGGTAAATTTTACATTAATTAAATTATTGATAAATACTCCAGGTATTATTTTTCTTTGATTAATTCATGGATTAATACTCAATGTAACTTTTACATAAATTCATTTTGTAGATTACTCCAGATAGATTTTACATTAAATGATATCCTTTGTGCTGTACATACATAGTGTATTACCTACTGAATACTCTTGGTCAATTAATATCTGGATTGATACTGCAAATGAATTGTCAGTCTCCAAGAATAAATATTTCACATAAAACATATTACAGTTTAATAAGTTATTTTTTGAAACATTAACTTGAAAATATAGAAAGGGCTTTTCAACATTCATTTTCATTCTTTTTCAAATGTATTTTGTCTTACCATGATCTGTGACTTAACCAATCATGTAACACAAAGACATTTAAGAGTTCAAGAATAAGAACACATCTCTGAAAAGTTAAATGAACAATGAGAATAGGTATAGATTTTAAACAAAAGGATTCTGTGGGTCTATGGTTTTTTAAACACTGATTTCATTAAAAAAAAGTTTTGGAAAATAAACACAATGGAACACTATAACTTTTTTTTATACTAATGAAGTTACATTTAACTTAAGGATAATCAGCAATTGCCTGGAGGAGTGCCAGGTGACACACCTGAAGCGAAATTCTTCCGTTTTGGGCTTGGCCATGGGTAAAGTTATAATTTATAAGTTAGTTACAAGACCCTAGATTGTTCACCACTATAGCATCACTATATATTTATTGATTTTTGATTAACTAGCACACCTAACTATATTTTTATTACATCCAACATGATACATTTTACATGTTAAAAGCTAATATTGAAAGCACTTTACATATATGTTCATAACAACAAACTATACATAGGCTTTGTTCGTGTAGGATTTGACTGTTGTGGAGGACTTTGTGTAGGATTTGACTGTTGTGGAGGACTTTGTGTAGGATTTGACTGTTGTGAAGGACTTTGTGTAGGATTTGACTGTTGTGGAGGACTTTGTGTAGAATTTGACTGTTGTGGAGGACTTTGTGTAGGATTTGACTGTTGTGGAGGACTTTGTGTAGGATTTGACTGTTGTGGAGGACTTTGTGTAGGATTTGACTGTTGTGAAAGGCTTTGTGTAGGATTTGACTGTTGTGAAAGGCTTTGTGTAGGATTTGACTGTTGTGAAAGGCTTTGTGTAGGATTTGACTGTTGTGAAAGGCTTTGTGTAGGATTTGACTGTTGTGGAGGACTTTGTGTAGGATTTGACTGTTGTGAAAGGCTTTGTGTAGGATTTGACTGTTGTGAAAGGCTTTGTGTAGGATTTGACTGTTGTGAAAGGCTTTGTGTAGGATTTGACTGTTGTGAAAGACTTTGTGTAGGATTTGACTGTTGTGAAAGGCTTTGTGTAGGATTTGACTGTTGTGGAGGACTTTGTGTAGGATTTGACTGTTGTGAAAGGCTTTGTGTAGGATTTGACTGTTGTGAAAGGCTTTGTGTAGGATTTGACGGTTGTAAAGGAATAGGTTGTGTAGGAGGTGACTGGTTAATGACAGCTGATTGTGATACATCTTGCTGGGTGTTGTGTAGGAAAGTTGTATGAGCAGTGCCTTCTTCCCTTACACCAGGTATGTTGGAAGTTTGGTCTGTTCTCACTGGCATCAAGTCATTCAATATATCAGAGTCATCTCTATGAAGGTATTCATAAGCTGAAGCTTCACGAGTACTAGTATAAAACACACTGTCTGGAGAAGGGTTGTCACTTTTTTTCCTAGTGACCTTGTCCGTATTTGCTTGTTTATGCAACTCAGTATCTTTAGTATGTGTATGACTGTGTGAAATTGGTCCTTCAGATACACTTGGTTTTGGATTCATCATCTCGTACTTGGGTCTATTATAATTTGAATACTCTGCTTTCTCTTTAACTGGGACAACAGTGTTAGAACCCAATTCAATGGCAGGAGCTGCTTTTGATTTGCGAACACGATCATCCACATCTTTTTTCAAAGTACTTGTCTGAGTGGGTGAAAACTGAGAAATATTCATTGCAGTTAAACAAAATGATCGATCGCTTTCTTTTCCTTTTGATGAATTTGGTGATACCTGAAGATGTTTAAAATCTGATGAAGCAGTTGGATAATTCATTGATTTTGGTGGGTAAGAAAACCTTGGTGGTTGACGGAGCTGCCTTTGTCTATAGTGAACTGAATCAGAAACATTGTGGGGGCTGCTTTCTTTTGATAAAGCCAGATCAGGTGATTGTACAGGTTCAACCAAAACCCTTGTTTTTTGTAACTCACTCTTGACCACACGATTTTGAATACCAAGAGGCACAACCTCGTTATCAGACTGCACTTTTGGTCTGGCACCCATTCTAACATTAGTTTCTGACTTTGATTGTTTTGATGGGAAATCTTTCAGTAAATGCCAAGAAACCTCCGAGAATGGTGACACTGCCATTTCTGGCAACATTAGCTCAGCTGAAGGAGCGTATTGTATAGGAGGTCCTTCCTTTATGAATCGAATGTCTTTTGAGAGAGATGATGTAGAATCATTGCTATCATATTTATTTTGAAGGAAATCTGATCCTTTTTGCTGTAGTATTTCATGCATGGTACAAGATTCATTCATACTTTGCCGAGGAGGTTTGGGCGGGGGTTGATAGGCCTCAGGTATCAAACAGAATTTTTGTATTTCCTCATTGTCCAAAGGAGAGATAAATGTTAATTTATCATCTTCTCTCTCAGAGTTATCCTGGACAGAGCTTTTCCCACTGGCACTCTTCGCACCCTCCTTAGCCATTGCGCGCTCCCTTACAAAACTTTGTGTCCTCTGTTTTTCCCTTCCCAGTATTTGATCACCATCTCTTGAAAATTCATGGTAAGACACACCTTGTGGATCACTTATTGCATTTTTAGTTTTGTCATTCTTGCCCTTGTGTCCAAATGCATTGTTTTCACTGCTTTCCATCACTTTTGAACCAATCGGCAGTGAAGAAGAGTCAGATAGCACAGAAACTGTAGGACAGTATTTAAATTTAACATCCGTTTCCTGTGCACAGTTAAGACTGGTAGGGCTAGTTGTACGATTCTGTATTTGAGATACGCTGTCCCATGCTTGTACTTCTTCATCTCCTGATGAAATCGATGAACTACATGATGCATTTTCACTTATTGACATTGGAAACACGGATTCTTCATCAACAGGCATTAATGTTGCCTCATAAGGAGGCAGTTCTTCATCTTCCTCTATAGGTAATGGAGGTTGTAAACTTTCAAACTCCTCGTCTGGTCTTAGAGAGTCATACCCATTACTTCCAACAGTATGTGATGGTATCTCAGCACTACTGACACTCATTAAATTTGACCCAACTTCTGGGATTCTTGATGCATCAGATATGGGTGGAACATTTGCAGAGTTTGGAGCTTCAAGTCTACTCTCCCTTTTGTGACTCTGTCCATGTCTTTGCTCACCATGAATATTAATGTGTGACTCCTGATTTACTGCAGGGTCATTTTCTTGACTGCTATTTTCTCGGCTTCTTCTCCTCCGTTTCCTTCGAGGTTTGCGTCTGTGATGTCTGTCATTGGGATTTTCTCCAGAATTTGTTGTTGTTAACAGTGCACAACTGCTACTAGTGCTTGCACGATTTGCTCTATGTCTACTTGTTTTATTTTCCTCTTTTATCTGTCTAAGATGTCGTGCATGTTGCTTTTTAATTACCCATTCATTCCAGTATAGATGTTTCAAACAGACAAGAGTTGTTGCCAGACATATGGCAAATTGAATCACAGCCAATGCCAGTAAAAATCCATGGACAAGCTTTGTGGAACTGTAGTTAATTTCCACATACTCTTGTATATCACGGTAAAATCCACTATTTAAATCGAGTCCACCGGCTGATAACACCACTACAGGAATCGACAGGAGACAAGATAGTACAGAAGCAATAAGAAATACCCTTACAATGTTTACACCTTTCTTATTTGCTGCCAAAATACCAGAAACACCAGCAACAGCAGCAGCGGCTCCACCCCATACACCTCCTCCCATCTCGTGGCCCCATATCTTCTGTACATAGCCAAGGACAGAAAGCACTATTTCACTTAAACCTACCAGTGACAGAATTATTGTCAATGCAAGGATCTGATAATGTGGAAAGCTGAACAAAAGTCTTACACGAAGAGACATGGTTTCTGGTTTGTCAATTTATGATGCCGATTTGCAACCTTCACCTGCAATTAAATGCGTCGTTTTCACGTTTGCAAACATGGAAAAGCGTCCTTCAAATGTATGTAGATGCCTATATAATGTGTCCATATTTATGTCTTTACCATTAATCATAGTTGTCAACTGGTCGGCTGTCATTGCACTGTGACCACTGGCGAGCTTTCTTGCTTCTCAACAATGTAGCTTTTCTGCCATGACAAATACGCAAAGGTTTTTGGCAGAGGTTGCACCTGTTCATTGCTAGTCATGACGTATCTGCTAGAGAAAACGATACGCCTAATCAATTGTGTAAACACTTTCATGTTATTACATACCTGTCCAGGTAAGTTAGTTTCATTTTAATGAAAGGTTTCTATTCATTGGTTGGCCAGTGTTTACAATAACCAATAAAAACGCACGTAACAATAAATACAAACGGAAGTACGGTACTCTAACCGGAAGTTTACAATATGGCGGGCAATGATGATGTTTGCAAATTGGCGTATGATGGACAACTAGAAATTTTGAAACAAAAGTTAAGAGACAACAATGAATTGGCAACAAAAGTCGACGAGGTAATAAAGGTGGTGCTAGCGATTTAAAGAAGTTCAACATTTACTGATGAATGACAGAAAATTACCGTGCAGTTTTAATTATATATCTGCCGTCTACGTTAGTACGTTATTTTCAATTTCATGAAGGTTCTCTATTGTCAGAAATATGTCCTTTTGGTTTTGAGACATCAGAAAAACCAAAATGGCTATCAGGTGGGTATCCTGAATTTTGAATATGAAAGTTTGTTGTTGCTCCTTCTTGGGAAGCACTTGGATGTATTTGTCCCGGATTTCATCACGATTCACCCCTCATATGGGTAACAGTCCTGCATCAGAGAGAGATAGTTACTACTAATCAGTTAGCTACTCAGGGTCATTTTGAAGAAGAAACACGAAGTTCTTTTTGAAAAATGCAACAAAGCGGGATGTCGTCTTTTATCATGATGTAATAGCCTGGAAGAAAGTTGTATGAAAAGTTTTGCTGACTATAGGGATTTGCTCTAATAAGGCAAGATGGTCAGTGCCCTGATTGGCGAAATAGAAGTATTTTTCAAAGCCTTTCTTTCTAATGATAAAAGTTTTTTGACCATATTAAGGATACTAGTGTATGTACCATATTCTTTTGGGTCGGAAGAGAATGACTCGGTATCGAAAAGAAATGTAGTAATTGATAAACGGGCCTGAATGAATGACAATTATCACTTTATTTTGATTTCATTCTCTCTATCATTTTACAGACAAACAGGATGCCACTGCACTGGGCAGCTTCAGCAGGCCACTTGGGGATTGTGGAGTATCTCTTTAAATACAATGTTCCAGTAGATGCTAGGGATGAGGTACAGTAACGCTCAAACAATTAGGGTGTTCAAAATTTCATTTGATGAACATTTTAAAGACAATACATAAAATACAATAAGACTATGTTTGATGTTTTTATACTGATGTTATTGACAGTCCTATAAACTGTTTGTTTTCTATTTGTTGATGTGGACGGAGAGGTTTCAAGTCTTCACTGATTATCATTCAATTGAAATTCAGTTTAGTAATTGTAAGTTGCTTTCCCTGTATTATCAACTCTTTAACTTTTATAAACCTACCAGATACATGATTTTTATCCTTTAATGATATTATAAAAAAATTTCTCAATTCTTAGATATCATCATTGGTTGCCACTTATTTTTGCCAGCCTGCCCTGGCTGTGAGTCACAATATAGAAGTGATTGAAGTTCCTTTCCAATATCAAGTTCTGGACATCAAGAAACTAACCAATTGGTTCCATGTTTAGCCATAGTGTTTGGCCATACATGTTCAAAAATTGTTTCTTGATCATTCTTTAGTTGAGATTCCTACCTTTCAATCATGCATGTTTCATGTTTTATAGGCCAGGGTTAATCCCAGAAAATTTTATTTCTTTTGATGAATGTCTTTTGCTGTTACATATGTATTGCTTAGATAATTAAGAAATACAGACATGTTTCTTGTATATTATGATGTCACACTAAAGTTTACTAATTCATAAAAAATCTTCAATCTGGTATGTGTTCTCTATTTTGTCAGTCAAACTGGACTGCATTGATGATAGCGTCCTCCGCAGGAAGGGACCAGATTGTCTCCCTTCTGCTTGGAGCTGGGGCTCAGGTTAATGCTGTTAACCAAACAGGCCAGTGCTCACTCCACTATGCAGCCTCAAAGAACAGATACCAGGTATCAGCCTCATTAGAAAATCAAATTTGTACTTGTATGAATATATTCTGAAAAATAAAAACATTTTTTCTCTCTGTCATTTTGTCTACATTTAGTCATTCGGTCTGACGGTGTAGAAGCTTTGATTGGACTTGTCATTATATTACTTGTTGATTATAGTTAGTCAAGCCTTTTTGGGAAAAAAAGATCAAAAGACTGACCATAGACAGTGGTAAATGCCAAAGCTATATCATTTTCATGCTGAAACTTTTCTTTGAAAAGTTGCTGGAAAAAATAAAATTTAAATATGATTTTCTGACAAATTGATCATTTGCATCTTATTGACATACAATGTTATTACATTCTGTGATGTTTGCTTTTAAGATAGCCGAGATGTTGTTGCAGTATGGGGCTGACCCCAACATTGCTGACCAATACCTACATACGCCCTTACATAGGGCTGCTTCTAAAGGTCATGTGAAGCTGACTAAACTCTTACTCCAGTACACAGTAGATGTGAATTCCAGGGACTCCGAAAGAAATACTCCATTGTAAGAGCTTGTTGTGTTTTCTGTCCTACTGAACTTACTATCTTAATGTGATAAACTTATTGTCAGCTTATCATACATCATTTGTTCATCCTTAGTATACTTTACACATTTCTTGTCATATCTGCCATCTTAAGCAGGATTTTCCATGACTCTCAAAAAGCATTTTCACTCCTTAAACTGACAAAGGACCCCATACTTAATGAAGTTTTCAACTTTAGTAAAGTTCAAGTTTTTAATGAAATTGTGATGGTAGCACTATGATCCTTGGGGATCATTTGTCAGATTTTACTGTTAGAACTATGATCCTTGGGGATCATTTGTCAGATTTTACCGTTAGAACTATGATCCTTGGGGATCATTTGTCAGATTTTACCGTTAGAACTATGATCCTTGGGGATCATTTGTCAGATTTTACCGTTAGAACTATGATCCTTGGGGATCATTTGTCAGATTTTACTGTTAGAACTATGATCCTTGGGGATCATTTGTCAGATTTTACCGTTAGAACTATGATCCTTGGGGATCATTTGTCAGATTTTACTGTTCGCGCCAGGATCCTTGGGGATCATTTGTCAGATTTCATTAATATTCCTGAGAAAAACTCTTTCTTGAACATGCCAGTATTAGTCATGCAGAATTTTGCACTTGATCAGATGTCCAAGATGGCCTCAGGCAGCTATTTTGGATTGATCATTTATATATCTGATAATATACAAACATATTCTTTAAGGGTTTTTGTTGTTCATACCAAATGTTGAGTGTGTAAGGTTTAGAGGACAGTTAACTGTGTGGCCATTTTGTAATTTCACACAATTCATTCCTTATTGATATCGCTGTTAAAGCAACAGAGAAAAAGTCAAACTAATATAGAGCCAATGAAAGTTATCAGATTGTGCACACAGTTCTATGGTTACATCTCATGTTTCTGTAACTTTATCAACTTCTTAGTTAACTTCTTTTTTATAAATCTGTTAATTGTGACCCCATACTATCATAAAATTGTTTTTGGACATTTTAAGACACTTGGCATGTGAGGAGGAGAGGACAGAGGTTGCTTTGCTGCTAGTGGGACATGGTGCACAGATAGAACTCCTCAATAAGGTACAAGTAGATTTTACCTAAATTCATATACTAAACTACACTAATATGTGTAAAGAAACTGCTGACGTGTATAACTCATTCATCAATTTCATATTTGATACAGTTGGATAAGTGAAAAAAGTATTACATATTACCAGCAGATTTCCTTACGAATCATGGAAAACAAAGGAACTCGCTTTAGGTCTAAAAGGAATACATGTATTAGAAAAGAAGCGTAAAATGTTTTTTATAATTTAGAAACAAATTGATATTCTCTTTTGATATTTCTGTCAGACAGAACTAATTGCCTGTGGGAATACTGATATCTAAACTTAAGTAATGAAATTAAAAAAATGAAATGTTAGAATTTTAGAATTGGTAACAACGTCCTCAATAAGTTTTAAACTGACTGTCTACTATGTGTGCACCTTCAATAAACAGTAAAATAAAAGCTCATTCTGTAATATTTTTTGTGTGCAACTTTGAATTGTTTTAGAACTTGGTAGGAACAGAAATAACAATTCTTTGGAATATATTGTATCACTTACAAGTGAATTTGTTTGGTTACTGTATCTTTTTAATTATAAATTACGAAGTTTATATATTTTATATGGTAATTTCTATGAACACAATAACAATATGAGTTAACTGGTAGACAATACCAAGTATTCAGAAACTGTTTAAGGAATGGAAAACATCTCATGAAGTACTTCTTTATTTTTCAGGAAGAGAAATCACCTCTTGACTTGGGAAAACCAGGACTTCAGCGATCACTTCAAAATGCCAGTCAGTCCTGACAGTTACATTTTTTCAAATCATCATTTGTGTTCAAACTTGAATCAGCTCTGGGTAGTGGACATTTAAAGGACAAAACTAAAACTATTTTTGACCACATAGCTGAATAACATGGTGTTCTGTCTAGAACAATGTATTTATAACTAGTACAGCCAGGTGCTAATGCTGACACTTACTGCTATGTGTAATTGTTACTGTGATACATAATTGTATTTACTTATTGATCATCTGCTTTTATGAAATAAAAGATTGAGATTTATAAAATTTGTGATTACTTTTTCTGAAGGAATGGCTTATTCAGATATTCAAGGTGGTCACTAACAGTACTAAAGGGCTCCCCTTGAAAGAATGGATATCTTCCATTGTGGGTGTATTTGTGCAAGCCCTATTTTGAACTATCTGATTTTCAAGTTGCTACAATCACCTATGTTTTAGCTCTACTGAACAGGCATCTTTGTAGTGTGGCATTTGTCGTTTGTCATCAACTTTTCCCTTTAACTAATTTTTCAATAACAAAGAGAAAAGGGTATTGATGTTGAGTCAGTAGCATCCTGGAATGATTGGCTACCAAGTTTGTTCAAATGAATGATCTTGGCCGCTTTTTCGAGGTTAAAGGGGTCAAATGTGTTCAAACTGCTAACTAACCAAGAACCCATTGGTCTTGATATTAGTTAAGTATGACATCTAATGAGATAAAGGGCTATGCAGTTTGTTCAAATGAATGACCTTGACACACTTTTAAGGTCATTTTGGTCAAATGTGTTAAAAATTTTCTTTTCAGTTAGAGACAAATGGTCAGGATATTTAAGCCAATGTCATAATCTGATCAAGGGCTTCCAAGTTTGTTTTGCATGAATTACATGTATTTGAAGGAACATGTTCATGGTTATCAGATATTTGGAACCCTTGGTGCCTATTTGTGATAGTGTCTGTTGATGATTATCACATATTTGGAACCCTTTATGCTTAATTGAAGCAAAGTGTCTAATTATGCTTATCATATATTTAGAACCCTTTATGCCTGTTTGAAACAGTGTCTGTTAATGGTTTTTACCTTGTGATCTATAATCCTTCTTATATGACTTACCAATGTGACATGAAGTTATATTTCCTTGAGCTGCATTTCAACTCAGCACACTGAATGAACTCCATTTTACTACCCATCACTGTTTCTAAGAACAGCATAGCTCTTCATTATATCATGTTTCAAGAAGCTTTCAGAGCCAAAATCCAACAACCAAAAACCAAAAGGGCACAACATGGGACAATGGGCAACCTCCATAGGAAATTTGAGGATGACCAATCCAATACTGCTTTCCAAGAAACAGTGATAACTGGTGCACTTCAATATGTCGACAGAAAAAAATCATAAATAAAATAGACAAATGAAAATATATACATTTACAGATAGTACTGTAGAATTTTTATTCAATATGCATATTTAATATTTACAACAGATGCTAATTGATAAATAATAAAATAAACACCTTTTTATCTTTTAAGCAGGGAATTGATATATGTACAAACAACAGGTATTTCTAACAAAACCTCAGAATTACATGTTGTTCTAACTAAGCATAGTACTGACTTAGTTATGTACAGCTCTGCTGTCACTGTAGGAATACATTATTCTTTGATAATTGTAGACCAGGGCAAACAGCATGCACATCTACGATTTAATTGACTCAGGAATGCATTATAATGTTTGAGATTTAGAAGATTCAGGAATGTGTTGCAATACAATGTGTGTCGTTAACATAAGAAAATTGATAAGTACATGTCTAATATTCATATGCACTTCCGTTCATTTTAGTTAAAAATCTTGTCTTGCACTATGGAGATAAGCTTAAAAAGTTGCAAACATGTACAAAACTTGAAAATGCAAATTAAGGACACAGAAAAAATGCTTGTTCAAAATCAGGGTTTTCTGCTTTCATTTAACAATTCATATTGAGCTTGATTGTTTCTTTAAGGTACTGAGTTAACAATTTCTCAATAGCAGCATTAAAACTAATATTTCTAATAACTGTCTTTCTGTGTTTCTGATAATTTGTCTGACTGGTTCTTTACAATTTCATACCAAATTCTTCTTTGTTTTCTTTTCATTTGGAAATAAGTGACATTTTCTTGTCATTAAGATAGTTTTGCACTTCTACCTTGTTACTTTATCCAACAAAGTACTTTGCATATGTCTGGTAATTACATCCCAACACAATTTCTCATCACATTGTTGGTGTTTCTGGTTGCTCACAGAAGACTGTAATGACAATGATGTGTTTTGATAATGAAGTCAATGTTTATGAACATTTCCAGATCATGATTGCCATATTTCCTCCAAAGAACATATATAATAAGTTCTTTACTTCATGTGTGATTTCAAATCCATAACCTTCTCCTACTATTGCATGCCATGATGCTCCAAATTTTTTATCCATCGTCTCTTTAATCATTCTTGCAGCAGTCTGGAAAAAAAGGGGAAATATATATATATATGTATGTGACTTTTGGTTGGCATGCTTGTATGATGAAATAATAAAGAAAACAATTCTATAATTTTTAACATACTATGAACTACCTGTTCATGGGCAATAGTTAAAAACTGGGCCCAAATTTATCATCAAACCAAAACCATGGTGGCAAATTAAAATTCTGAAATGTATCTATAATGAGAAACTCTATGTATATGGTCTTGGAAGAGAAGGAGATAATATAAATTCCTATCAGTTGCATGTATTTTCTGAAATTGTTTTGTTAAAATTGGATAACTGAGAAAAACAATCATCGATCCAAAGAAAAACAATCAGTCTGAAGTTTAATACATCAGTTATTCTATCAATGAAATACACATTGTTTCATGCTTTTGTTAATATGACACTAACCTCATTATTACTGGAAAACTTTTCACAAGCTGTCACACATAATTCCATGGCTTCTGTCTTCATCTCATCATTCATGTCTGAATGCTGAAATCAGAAAACAATAATCACAATAATCATATTATACTACCACACTTATCAACCATTTCTGTGATTTCTAATTTAGAAACATTCTTGGGCCAGGGGTATTTTGAGGCAGGGTCTCCTTTTCGTGGTTGGTGGCTACCTCACTGAACAACATTTGAGATGCTTGTCACATGACATTCAGAACAATTTGAATAAAGTAGCCTTCCCAAGAAGTAATAGATGATGTCAGGTTTTGCATCAGCAACATACAATTTTATAATTTGATAAATGTCATCCTTAGAAATATCATTAAAATTTTCAAACAGCATCTCTAAAATTATTCTTTTTAAGAATCAAGTATTTATCATATATCATACTGGATATTATAATCTATAGCAAAGTTATCATAATTATGAAAGTAAGCGTGTGCCATATACACAAATAGAATACATGATTTTGATGTAACACAACCTAAAAAAGGATTTCTCTTGAAAGGTATGTATAGTCAGATCAACAGTTATATTCTCTTTCTTTCACTTGTATCCCTGTACTTTTAACATCCAGGAGACAGACACAATCATATTCATACTCAAATTCCTTTATCCAAATGCATCAATAGGAGCAAATGAACAGCTTAATTTGGGAAATGACACTATGTGATATGATCATCACGTTGCACAGTCTGAATATATGTCTGAGCGTTTACTCATTTAATAAACCTGTGGCAAAACAATAATGAACATCAGATCTACTGGTCGCGAAGGTCTACTAATCGTAGGTGAATATTGCTATGTAAGTATTTATGGAATTCTTGCGCTGAAATGTCAAAGTAAAAGTCGATACACAGCTGAAAAGGATATAACTTACACTCAGCAGGGGGAAACTGGGTTTAGTGTCTATGCCTAAGGCATGGAAACATATATTAACGCATGTATACAGTTGACAACAAAGAACGTAAAATACGTTCAACTCGTGATTGCTTCATATATTTACCCTGATAAGTGGATAGGTATGGACACGTTTAGAATCAGGCTCCTTCTTTTCTTCGACAGCCTCTGCCATACTGAATGTTTCAGCTTTCTTTCGGTTAACCTGTCAAAAAGATCTCAAATGCTGGCAATGAAGCTATGCAATGGTGGTTACCAAGCACTACTGCGCATGCGCATATTGTAAAAGAATTTATTTCCGTTTCCTGTTGCAAGCACATGTGTTTGTTTACAGTTTGCTTATCCTCAGCTGTTAATTTATGGAAAATATTGAGTTGATATTCATTTTTTTCTCTCTATCATGTCAGACATCAAAACAGAAGTAAGAAGATTTTGCAGGCTGTCAGAGAATACCATCAGTAATCCAAAAGGGGAACACGAGTTACTGCAAGCATTGAAAAATCTAAACTGTCTGGCCCTGGACTTCGATGTGATTGCTAATGACGAATTATTTCAGTTCAATGACATCTCCGCCGCTAAACGTGTTTTTCGACAAACATTTTACTGTCATACCGGATTGTTTCTTCTGGATAAATTGTCTGTAGATTGGATAAGAGTGTATTTAAAAAATGAAGCCATAAAACAGAACTTCGATGATTACTTTCTGAAGGCGGACAACCCTGGGACATTTATCGTCCTGTCCAAGTGTTTAACGGATTCGAGGTAGTCATGTAAATATAGTTCCTTATAGTTAATTTTCAATACAGAAACATCCTAACCCCTGTTCACCAGACTCGTTGGAATGTTTGATTCCAGAGTAGTGTTAGAGGTCCTGGGTTTGTTTCCATTTGGAGGTATTGAAATAAAGAATAACATCTGTTATCTTGGCATTGCATAAGGAATGATACTAAGCATTACTTTCACAAGCATCGCTGCAACTCCATAAAACTTGATGATGAGTATTTATCGGAAGGGGAAGTATATAACCGTGGTAGAAACTAGCTAAAAGATACTACCTGGCTAGAGAGATTTTCTCTTTAGCTTAAAGGGTTGAGTATAAGATAAGTGAACCAGAGGTCATCGGTTTAAATCCTAGTTGAGGCAATGACATTTATAATGATTTTGGTAAAATATAAGCTGGAATAGCTAAAGAACCTGGGTTGTGGTGACCTTACAATTTTTGTTTGGACACTTGTGAAGCATATATATGGATAGGAGGAAATGTTGACATGTCACTTTACTGACTTTGTCTGATTGGAACTTCCCTTTATGTCAGTGTTAGGACATGTACTTTCAAGACCCTTATTCAAGCCTTATGATGGGAAACTCATTTTCTGTGATTCTTTCCAGTTATAAAGTTCTTGTCAAAATATGTTCATTACCCCTGCCAAATTACAGATTTAATGATATTGACCTCTCCAAATGTATAGCCAGCTAAACAGCTTGAAGGAAGCCAGGATTATTGTTGTCTTTAGGATTGAGGACATGTGAAGGAGGGAGTAGTATAACAATTTTGAACATTAGCTGTCTTTCTAAGCCTTTTTGAAGTTTGACATTTAAAGTTTGTGATCTCCAATCCTCAAACACTATGTGTTCATGACAAGGATTCTAGATGTTCATGGCACATTTTGGTCTGTTGTTCAGGTTGGCTGCCAACAGCCATTTTGGAATTGCATATTTGATGCTTTTGACAACTATATTTATCAAGAAATATAAATGAATATTTTTAGATATCAAAGCAAGGTCAGCATGAATTCTTGGGAAGGAATAAGCATGTCGTACATGGACATTGTCCAGATACTCCAGATAGCGAAAAGTGGCTATTTTAATTTTGATATTTTAAGTTTATTACTGCTATTTCCCCAGAACTACTGACAGTCCTCTCGCCCCACTGAAAATATATGTTTTAGTCAGAAACTATACTTTAAGACTGAACAGAAGACCAAAAGGTTTTTCAGGCAACAGAGCTTTAAGTTTAAATTATCAAACTTGTTACCATGTATGCTCACATGTAATTCACTATAAAAGCATAGTCAATACGTCAGACGAATGAGAAAAAATAAAAGAGAAAAGTTGGAACTTGTATAACTCTGATGAGGATCATACCATGGTTCATAAGGGCCTCTTGAGATCTCCTTTATTGGGCATTATTCTGTTTGCTATCAATTGGTGACAATATAAAAAAGGTGAAGGGAGATAAATACAATGCTAGCAGTTTAAAATCACATTGAAATATATGTATTATTCTTTTGATGATGATGCTAATGTTCATCTTATCGAAGGGTGATAAAAATGTATTTACAAAAGTCTTTTCCAGATACATGTAGATTTTTCCATTTTTTATAGGCCTGTGATATATTTGTGTATAAAACAAATGGAAATTTTAACTGATATTTGTCTAATTGATAATTTTACTGACACAGTGCTGGAGTGAAGCAAAACAAGTGTGTGAAGCTGCTGGAAGGTTTACTGCAGAAAAGATGTCTTGATCGGGTGATGGTGGAGTACTGTAAGGGAATCATCCAATCAGATGAGCAGTTCATTGTAGATGAATTCATAGCAGCTCTAGTATCATTCCCTGATAAAGCAGCAAATGTTCTACAGACTCAGAACAGGTAACAACAGTTATGACAATTAAGGTGAAAGCATTTGTCAACGATAATTTAGGAAGAACATATACAGAAATATCTATTGAACATCAGTAATTTTACTGTACTGTAGTAAGTATGTAACAGTGACGTGTTCCTACCACAGCAGTGTGTACCACTGATAAGACAGACCATCAGTGTTATATACATCAGGTATTGTACTGTGGTCTGTTTGTTACAGTGACATGTTCCTACCTCAGCAGTATATACCACTGATAGGAGAGACCATACTTTCCAGTCTGGGACATGCCAGTGACTGCATCAGGAAGGGAAAAGACATCAGTCTACAATTTGCTGGACAGTTGTGTGCTAAGTTCTCCTTGTCAGGGTTTGCAGGTAAGGTGTATTTCAGTTACATTTTAGATAAAAACTTTTGGAAACTCTGATGTCATTTGAAATTTGTTGAGATGGAAGTAGGATATTGTAGCATTAAATGTACTAATCAAAGACCCCTTCTTGCTTATTTTTTTTGAGTATTGTTCTTATGTGTCTATTGATATTTAAATAGAGCTGCTGTGGAAGACATTGATGTTGGTTATGATGCCAGAGGTGCAAAGAGACTTCATATGGAGTCGAGTATGTGAGAGACTTATCACAGGTATTCCAGATCGAGGATTAGATGTTGTACTTAGTACAGTGCTGAGGATAACCCCATGGTATGTTACCACCAAAGTTTGCTATCTTTTTATCCCTACTTCATCTGAACAGAAAAGTTGTATCTAGACAAAACTTCTACTAATGAGTTGTGTATGATCACAATCAATCAATAGCTCTTGATAAAATTGAGAACTTTGCCATATTCAAGATGGCTACCATGGCTGTCATCTTGAAATTGATATCATCACTACTTCCCTATTAAATGAGGGGGCAGGAGGGGTAGAGGTTGGGTTGAGTAGTATTTGTGTGTCCTTAGTGCAAAACTTGTGTAAAGGAATATGTAGTTCATATTCATGCCATATCATTACACCATATGAACCTGATTAGATTTTGATGGTCATTTTTCAAGGTCAAAGGTCATAATTGAACACTTTTCATATTAAAACCTCGTGTACAAGATATCTCATAAACTCCTCAACAGGTTTACTTCTAAATCATTTATTTTTGTGGGGGATTTATTTTATGGATTTCATGGGTACCCTTGATCCACCAATTCCTGTTTCCATGCATTTTCAATATTAGTGTTGGATTCATTGAGGTTATTTATCAACAAAATTAAGTATCCACAAAAAAAGTAAGATTTTGAAAAAACCATGAAAACCGAGCCCAACAAAAATAGATGTTTTTACAGAATTTTGAAAAAGATGAAGATCAGTGTCTGAGATATAGATGTGAGCACTTAATCACTTTGTTTTTGTAAGACTTTGTTCCATATTCCAGATAGCTATAACCAAGGCTGTCATCCTGAACATATTGTTATACATCAGTATGTATAACCTGGGGACAGAAAATTTTACCGAAATTTGACTTTGAGCTTAAAACCTTGAGGAAAGTTCTAAAATAGTCTGGTAAAAACCAGTATCATAATCCTGTATTTTACAAAGCAGGACAAACTATTTGACACCAGTAGCATCAGTGTGTGTTTTTCATGAAGATGTGTACTCTAGGTACTATAATATGTTTCCATCAGTGTTTTTGATGATATATATTGTATAGGTATGGTTTTGTGGACAAATTACTTGGCGACTGTATCCTGGCTAAACACAGAGTTGAATATCTTATGTGTACCAAGATGTTATTACTACAGTACACAGACAAGGTTAGTACAAACAGTTCTGTAGTGGTATACTACAGTACACAGACAAGGTCAGTACAAACAGTTCTGTATTGGAATACTACAGTACACAGACAAAGTCAGTACAAACAGTTCTGTAGTGGAATACTACAGTACACAGACAAGGTCAGTACAAATAGTTCTGTAGTGGAATACTACAGTACACAGACAAGGTCAGTACAAACAGTTCTCTGTTGTATAATATGGCAGTACAAACAAGTTAGGTTTGTTTATTGAGTGATCAGAAGAAAGTGAGATATTTGGGATAGTTACCAACACTTATATTGACTATTAAACTGTTTTTGAAAACAATATTTCAATTTAAGAAGAGAACCTAGGTTTAGGAATTATGTAGATCTTCATGCACTTGTTTAAACATATGAAATTGGACATTCAGAAATCATACAAGTGTGACACTTGATAAGAATGTCTTTGTTCCAGTAAATAAATCTCCAGTTGAATATTTGATTTTTGTAGGTACTAGTTGTTCACAACATACTTGGTTACCTGGCCAGCTCACACACCAGACACCATTTACTCATCAAGGTAATCATTTCTGACAAACTAAAACTACTGGTACAACATGATAAATGTTTTATGGAAATTACTTAATGTTGAATGTAAATGCTTAATGATGAATGCTGAATGTGAAATGTTTTGATGAAGTAGTCTTATTGGTGATAATCCAGCTGGAATGTCCATAGCTGCCTGTAAGCCTAGAGCAGCTGTAAAGTATTTAGCATCTCTATCTACATATAGTGTACTAGGACCTATTTCATTAAACATATTCCTTTTTAAGTATTTTGCTTGAAGCGTATTGAATTTTACATAAAACAATTAGCATAACACATTTCATATCAAGCCTTAAACTTAGTAATCAGTTATGTCCTAAACAATATAAACCATTGGCAACAACTCTCAACAGTTACAAGTCAATATGACAACAAGTAATACTCAAATCATGAAACAATATTTTTGTAGATATCTTTAAGTGAATTACAGAATTTGTCAAGATGTTTTTCACACAAAAAATTCAGAATTTGGCATAAAGCGATCCGTATATAGCATTGGAAAAATACATGTGAAGCTGTGTGAAGAGATTAATGTTGTGACAGCAAATTAAGGCAGATTGGTAATTAGTTCACATGCTGAACCATTAGATACAGCTTAGTGAACTTACAATGTTAATGCATCACCCCTGGTTGGAATGTAATGAAATGAGGTCAGGTGAAGTTCAAAGGTCAAATAAGTCCCAAATTTTCAGTAAACCATGACCAGGCCACAACTCTTGGGTCATTAAAATGTTTTGATGTATATTGTGAAACTGACTGACATAATCAGCAAGAGTGGAGCAAAACTCTGACGTAAGGTCAATGTCACAAGGTCAGAGGCTCAAAGGTCAAAGTCGAATTTAGATATTTTGTTACTGAACATTTTGTATGACTTAAGAAAGCATAGTTGACCTGAGAGTTCCTAATCTGAATGTGTTTATTTCTGTCGTCTATTCATTGACATGATAACAAGTTTTTGTTGGATAATAAATGTAGACATGGTTTTGTTTACAAAAGCAAATATCTTGCGGTAGTTTAGGTTTGATACTGAAGTCAAATTCATAGCACAATTCAAAGAGTAAAACAATGATATAGAAATGAAGTTATTCTGTAAATGTTCCTTATGTTTTAAGACACAGAAGTATATTGTCTTTTACAGACGATGAAGGAGCTATTGAGGGTTTGGGGAGATGAAAGTGCACTGCGCCATACTTCAGGAGAACAGCATTGCTACATCACCAAAGCCCTACTTATCTGCTGTCACCATCTCTCTGAACAGGATGTTCAGAAACACAAAGATGGTAAACAGGGATGAAAATCTTTAATTACTTACCTTGATCTATCACTACAAAATAGAGCCATCAGTTTGCTTCTGACTGCTTTAAGTTCTGTGTACCATCAATGACTGGAACAAAATATTGTAGCAGGTATTTCTCCCAGTATGCTGTATCTGAAACAGACTCCATATTCCTCTCCAAATGTTGTTCAGCAAAAGAAGTTATCACTTATAATGGTAATGGAGGGGGAATTACGACAGTGTCACTGTTATTTGGTGCTTGTTATCAAGGTATAAATTAGATATAGGTGTCAGTATCAGTTGGCTGGAATGTGATTACAGAGTTAACTTTCCATATTAACTGGCGGGGATACTTTGTTGTCTATTTCTGAAGTATAGATGGTAGCATTGTGTTTTAATTGGTTGATAGAACTGATGCAAATGCTGTTGCCTGGAGTACAGTGCCATCTTGGAATATCTGACCATGACACACGCTGTTTAGGGATGCTTGTGGCCAAAACGATGACACAAGTGCTTGACCCTAAAGGACCACAATTGGACTATGAGGTAAATGACAAAACATATTGTAGTGCCTTTGTTATTGTGTCAGTCTAAAGCTAGAATAATTTGTTAATTTAAGGGGTACTGTTAATCAGAGAATCATAGATAAACTTATCACGCAATCACTGACATCACAGACTAGATAAAGATTTCATGGCTATGACATCACTGACTAGATAAAGATCTCATGGTTATGACATCACTGACTAGATAAAGATCTCATGGTTATGACATCACAGGTCATAACTATCATATATCATAATAAGACAGTAGTTTCATCAGGACAGAATTACATTTTAGAATGACTATAAATTATGAAAATTCTCAGTTGTTAAATAACAGCTGTTCAGTAGTGCTTACCTTTCAGAAGTGAATGTTGTTGATCACTTACATTTTAACAGCTTGATGAAAATGATGAGAATGTGAAGTGCCTTCTGTTAGAGACATCTATACCTGAGAATCCTGATGTCACATACTGTACAAGGTAAGTCACACTCTGTACTCATTATGTCACACACTGTACAAGGTAAGTCACACTCTGTACTCATTATCTCACACACTGTACAAGGTAAATCACACTCTGTACTCTTTATGTCACACACTGTACAAGGTAAGTCACACTCTGTAGTCATTATGTCACACACTGTACAAGGTAAGTCACACTCTGTACTCATTATGTCACACACTGTACAAGGTAAATCACACTCTGTACTCATTATGTCACACACTGTACAAGGTAAGTCACACTCTGTTCTCATAATGGCACACACTGTACAAGGTAAGTCACACTCTGTACTCATTATGTCACACACTGTACAAGGTAAGTCACACTCTGTACTCAGTATGTCACACTCTGTACAAGGTAAGTCACACTCTGTACTCAGTATGTCACACATTGTACAAGGTAAGTCACACTCTGTACGTCACACACTGTACAAGGTAAGTCACACTCTGTACTCAGAATGATACACACTGTACAAGGTAAGTCACACTCTCTACTTAGAATAGATTGATATTGTACCACCTAAACCACGACTGATATTGCTCACCGTTTCCAAAACTAGAGAAAATTACAGGAATGACTCTGGAAAACTTATCATGTTAGATATTATTGGCGTTTTTCAGAAACATTGAGAAGACTGATATTTCATCGGCAACTACCTCCATGGATAAAGAAACATCTCCTGGCCAGTCTCAACCACCATCTGATCTTGATAGGTAAGTTAATTTTACCTAATGAAATGTAGGTTTATACTGGAAAGCTAATATATGATAGTAAGATGTATAGTTGTTTTGTTTCTGAAAACTTTACCTTTTTCTTGCAGTGATGATGACTTGGAACCATATGACATGTCAAATGATGTTAAGGTCACCAAAGTTAAACGTCCTAAATACCTCAGAGATTGCATGGAAGGTAAGACCACCACAGGTCGATGTCACCAACTAGTTTTGGTTTGAGATCTTCTTGAGATAGCAGAGAGTTATATATTAAAATTGAGTCATAAACCCAAGTACTTACAGAGTTAGGGCCCCTTTTCAGTTTTAAATTCCAAAGTTTGTTCCTGAATTTAGTTTTTGTTGGATTCTCTGCAAGATGCTGCTATTAATTGGCTGTTTTTGTAATGTCTGTTTTTGTTCCAAGGTTTGATGTGTGGTGACGACCCAGACAGGACAGAAACTTGCCTGGAAGCTGCAGAGGGACTTATACGGGCCTTACCTGATGGTCTTGCTGAGGTAATAAATGAGAATTTAAAGTGTTATTCTTGCTGAGGTAGAAATAAAGTTGTAGCAGCCAATCTTGTAGGTGATGATGTCACTGGTGTATAGGGGGAATAGATTTGTGTTGTAGGTGATGATGTCACTGGTGTATAGGGGGAATAGATTTGTGTTGTAGTGATGTCACTGGTGTAAAGGGGGAATAGATTTGTGTTGAAGGTGATGTCACTGGTGTATAGGGGTAATAGATTTGTGTTGTAGGTGATGATGTCACTGATGTATATGGGTAATAGATTTGTGTTGTAGGTGATGTCACTGGTGTATAGGGGTAATAGATTTGTGTTGTAGGTGATGATGTCACTGATGTATATGGGTAATAGATTTGTGTTGTAGGTGATGATGTCACTGATGTATATAGGTAATAGATTTGTATTGTAGGTGATGTCACTGGTGTATAGGGGGAATAGATTTGTGTTGTAGGTGATGACGTCACTGGTGTATAGGGGGAATAGATTTGTGTTGTAGGTGATGACGTCACTGGTGTATAGGGGTAATAGATTTGTGTTGTAGGTGATGACGTCACTGGTGTATAGGGGTAATAGATTTGTGTTGTAGGTGATGATGTCACTGGTGTATAGGGGTAATAGATTTGTGTTGTAGGTGATGACGTCACTGGTGTATAGGGGGAATAGATTTGTGTTGTAGGTGATGATGTCACTGGTGTATAGGGGTAATAGATTTGTGTTGTAGGTGATGTCACTGGTGTATAGGGGTAATAGATTTGTGTTGTAGGTGATGATGTCCCTGGTGTATAGGGGTAATAGATTTGTGTTGTAGGTGATGATGTCACTGGTGTATAGGGGTAATAGATTTGTGTTGTAGGTGATGATGTCACTGGTGTATAGGGGTAATAGATTTGTGTTGTAGGTGATGATGTCACTGGTGTATAGGGGTAATAGATTTGTGTTGTAGGTGATGACGTCACTGGTGTATAGGGGGAATAGATTTGTGTTGTAGGTGATGATGTCACTGGTGTATAGGGGTAATAGATTTGTGTTGTAGGTGATGTCACTGGTGTATAGGGGTAATAGATTTGTGTTGTAGGTGATGATGTCCCTGGTGTATAGGGGTAATAGATTTGTATTGTAGGTGATGATGTCACTGGTGTATAGGGGTAATAGATTTGTGTTGTAGGTGATGATGTCACTGGTGTATAGGGGTAATAGATTTGTGTTGTAGGTGATGATGTCACTGGTGTATAGGGGTAATAGATTTGTGTTGTAGGTGATGACGTCACTGGTGTATAGGGTAATAGATTTGTATTGTAGGTGATGTCACTGGTGTATAGGGGTAATAGATTTGTGTTGTAGGTGATGATGTCACTGGTGTATAGGGGTAATAGATTTGTGTTGTAGGTGATGACGTCACTGGTGTATAGGGGTAATAGATTTGTGTTGTAGGTGATGACGTCACTGGTGTATAGGGGTAATAGATTTGTGTTGTAGGTGATGATGTCACTGGTGTATAGGGGTAATAGATTTGTGTTGTAGGTGATGACGTCACTGGTGTATAGGGTAATAGATTTGTATTGTAGGTGATGTCACTGGTGTATAGGGGTAATAGATTTGTGTTGTAGGTGATGATGTCACTGGTGTATAGGGGTAATAGATTTGTGTTGTAGGTGATGACGTCACTGGTGTATAGGGTAATAGATTTGTATTGTAGGTGATGTCACTGGTGTATAGGGGTAATAGATTTGTGTTGTAGGTGATGTCACTGGTGTATAGGGGTAATAGATTTGTATTGTAGGTGATGTCACTGGTGTATAGGGGTAATAGATTTGTGTTGTAGGTGATGACGTCACTGGTGTATAGGGGGAATAGATTTGTGTTGTAGGTGATGACGTCACTGGTGTATAGGGGTAATAGATTTGTGTTGTAGGTGATGATGTCACTGGTGTATAGGGGTAATAGATTTGTGTTGTAGGTGATGATGTCACTGATGTATATGGGTAATAGATTTGTGTTGTAGGTGATGACGTCACTGGTGTATAGGGTAATAGATTTGTATTGTAGGTGATGTCACTGATGTATATGGGTAATAGATTTGTGTTGTAGGTGATGATGTCACTGGTGTATAGGGGGAATAGATTTGTGTTGTAGGTGATGACGTCACTTGTGTATAGGGGTAATAGATTTGTGTTGTAGGTGATGATGTCACTGGTAAGAAATGAATTATGGGTCTAGATCAATTTTGATGGCTGTAAGGTTTTTGGAGTATTGATAATATTTGCATTCTAATTTCTTGAGCTTTCTTGACACTAGATCATTTTGCTATCTAGTTTTTGGAGCCCTTTGGCACTTTTTTTATTAACATCCTTTCTTACTCTGAATACCGATCATGTGGTAATTTGTTATCTATTTCAAGGTGTGTGAAGAGTTTACTAAGATTCTCTTACACCTGTCAGACAAATCGTCCAACCCAAATTTCACCAAACACAGATTTAGTGCTATGGTAGCTCTGGCTGTCAATTCACCTGTTCAGGTAAGTTTTCATTTAAAATAAAACCAGGTCACACTTATTCAAATTATGAAATTTTAACTAAATTTCACAAACATGTTTTCTAAATATTTCTTATAAAACCATTTTCCTAATCTTGATCAATTCAGATCTTGAATCAATTGATGTAGCTAATCTTCTTTCCAGCTGATGTGACTTGACCTAAAATTAAACACTTTTCAAATAATGATATGAATACCTCCTAAAATATCTATAATGTTTGTACTATAAGAACACAATCAGTGCCTCCTGACAGCTTTCCTTTAATGCATTTGTCAGTCATGATCAGAGATTTAGGGTTTATTTTGTTGTATTGCATGCACTTGGATATTTCAGCCGATGACAACACCTTACCTCATCTTATCGGTCATGAAAATTGTTTTCAATTTTTCATAAATCTAATTTTTATTTCATTTTTATTCAGATTTTATCAATATTTCATTTATCATTTGAAATAATGGTACAATATTTAATTTTTATTTTCTTTTTCGTCTTTTTCCCATGATTTATGTTTTAATATATTTGTGTTGCAGTGCTCTAAATATCTAACTTATGAATTTTATGAGAGAAACTATAATCTACGTCAGCGAATGGATATCTTGGAGGTGAGAGACTTTATACCATACATCAATAGGCCTATACTTTAGATGTAAGGGACACTGTTACTCACATCAGAGAATAATATCATAGAGATAGAAACAATGTATCACAGGTTGTGGATATTTTATCGGAGAAAAATGTCTAAATACATTTTCCATAATATTTAATGATGTTGTTATGTAAATTCTGTAGAAATGATGCACAGATTCTCCAGATAAAGCACAATATTTCATTTGAGCCAATTTTCCAATATCTACAGAAAAAGTTTAAATTCAGATACCGGGGGTATGTGCTGGATTGCTTGTCTTCACTCTTTTATTGTTGTAATAGTTTCCATGCACTCCGTTTTCAAGCCTATTCAGATAAAGTGCAAGTATATCTTCATTGATTTAAGGTTTTAGCTGCTGGTGCTCAGGAGTTATCTCAGCCTAACCAGCCTTCTCCTGCACCTTCCTCCAAGGCCGCAGCCCAGACTCCTGCTCTGTCCTCAACACCCACCCCTGAGGACTGGCATAGCGTTGTACAAAAAAGGATTGAGAGTAAAACCCGACGATTTGTGAAAGGCCCCAGTAGACCTATTCCTGCCCCACAGATTAATAAGTTTACAGGGGTAGCTGGACAGTTTTTCTACCCTCTAATGAAACATTATGACAGGTAAATAGATAATAAGTTTACTAGAGTAGCTGGACAACTTTTCTACCCTCTAATGAAACATTATGACAGGTGAATAGAGGAGATTTATGCTCTCACATTTAATATCATGCAGTTCCATGAGTATGACATAACATCATGAGTGAAAAATATATCTACAGTCATACCCATGCATTATATATACTGAACAGGAAAACATTCATTTTTGTTTTATTTGAAAAAAAAAACACAAATAAATTGAAAAATCTTATCCAAACATAGAATACCAGTAAGTCTTGTTAAAAATATTTTGGAAGTTTGGGAAATAGTAGCATTTTCTTTGTGATTGGGTAGTTTGATTTTACACTTGTAAATAAGATTCGACTAGTGAAGATAAATCATCACGGGAAGGTTTGATATCTTCACTACAGTATTGATAGGAGTCTTTATCTTATTGATCAGTCCTTTCATTAACAAAAATGTAATGACAGCCAATTACACTAGCTAGAATTACTTCAGATAAACTCTGCCAATTCAGTGTCCCAGTGTACAATGTAAATTTCACAGCAGCATCTGTGATTGTCATGAAAAGGAAATCAGTAATTATAGCTAGACTAAGAATTTACAAACTTAGAGCTGTGTAATCAGTAAGGGGCAACTCATACCTGTATAAACCCTAGAAAGTGATAGTCAGGAGGAAAGTATACAATACAACTCTTGTGATTTACCTCCAGTGACCATGAGCAGGAATGTAATTGATTAAAGTTATTCTTTTATTCTTTAACAGGAGAGAAAATACGTTTGACTTGATAGGGGAGGACAGTCTTGTCCTTGGAAGGTTGATATACACACTTGGGGTCATCATGTACTGTGCTATTAACACAATGGTAAGTGGTAAATATGAGATAGCATGGTTGCTTGGTTGCTTGGTTGACAGATTTTTTGTCTCCATGACTCCTCCTTGTTCAGGTATCATCTCACCAACGACCATCAAGTGTTAGGGCGACCTACAAACCCCTTATTGGGAAGGAACAGTCTGTCGCTTTGATTTTAAGTTATACTAGTCTTAGAAGATTTTTTCACGCCAACTTTCCTTACAAAAAGTCTCAGGTAGATCTTTAGCATGCGAGAGTGGACAACCCTCACACAGGCCACCATTTCAAGGTCTTGTATAGTGTTTATTTGGTTTATATGTTTGTGCCTTGAGTTGTATGTATTGTTGTGTGCTATGTTGTATTGTATTGTATGTATGTTTGTGTGTTGTATTGTATTGTATGTATGTTTGTGTGTTGTGTTGTATTGTATGTATGTTTGTGTGTTGTGTTGTATGTATGTTTGTGTGTTGTGTTGTATTGTATGTATGTTTGTGTGTTGTGTTGTATTGTATGTATGTTTGTGTGTTGTGTTGTATGTATGTTTGTGTGTTGTATTGTATGTATGTTTGTGTGTTGTGTTGTATGTATGTTTGTGTGTTGTGTTGTATTGTGTGTATGTTTGTGTGTTGTGTTGTATTGTATGTATGTTTGTGTGTTGTGTTGTATGTATGTTTGTGTGTTGTGTTGTATGTATGTTTGTGTGTTGTGTTGTATTGTGTGTATGTTTGTGTGTTGTGTTGTATTGTATGTATGTTTGTGTGTTGTGTTGTATTGTATGTATGTTTGTGTGTTGTATTGTATGTATGTTTGTGTGTTGTGTTGTATGTATGTTTGTGTGTTGTGTTGTATTGTGTGTATGTTTGTGTGTTGTGTTGTATTGTATGTATGTTTGTGTGTTGTGTTGTATTGTATGTATGTTTGTGTGTTGTGTTGTATGTATGTTTGTGTGTTGTGTTGTATGTATGTTTGTGTGTTGTGTTGTGTTGTATGTATGTTTGTGTGTTGTGTTGTATTGTATGTATGTTTGTGTGTTGTGTTGTATTGTATGTATGTTTGTGTGTTGTATTGTGTGTATGTTTGTGTGTTGTGTTGTATTGTATGTATGTTTGTGTGTTGTGTTGTATTGTATGTATGTTTGTGTGTTGTGTTGTATTGTATGTATGTTTGTGTGTTGTGTTGTATGTACGTTTGTGTGTTGTGTTGTATGTATGTATGTTTGTGTGTTGTGTTGTATTGTATGTATGTGTTGTGTGTTGTGTTGTATTGTATGTATGTTTGTGTGTTGTGTTGTATTGTATGTATGTTTGTGTGTTGTGTTGTATTGTATGTATGTTTGTGTGTTGTGTTGTATTGTATGTATGTTTGTGTGTTGTGTTGTATGTATGTTTGTGTGTTGTATTGTATGTATGTTTGTGTGTTGTGTTGTATGTATGTTTGTGTGTTGTGTTGTATTGTGTGTATGTTTGTGTGTTGTGTTGTATTGTATGTATGTTTGTGTGTTGTGTTGTATGTATGTTTGTGTGTTGTGTTGTATTGTATGTATGTTTGTGTGTTGTGTTGTAATGTATGTATGTTTGTGTGTTGTATTGTATGTATGTTTGTGTGTTGTATTGTATGTATGTTTGTGTGTTGTGTTGTATGTATGTTTGTGTGTTGTATTGTATGTATGTTTGTGTGTTGTATTGTATGTATTGTTGTGTGTTGTGTTGTGTTGTATGTATGTTTGTGTGTTGTGTTGTATTGTATGTATGTTTGTGTGTTGTATTGTATGTATGTTTGTGTGTTGTGTTGTATTGTATGTATGTTTGTGTGTTGTATTGTATGTATGTTTGTGTATTGTATTGTATGTATGTTTGTGTGTTGTGTTGTGTTGTATGTATGTTTGTGCGTTGTGTTGTATTGTGTGAGATTTCAGATTTTGAGTTTTAGACCCTGTAGCCAGTGTTGAATGAACAGTTCAGTATATTAATTATTGAGAACTGTTTATTCTATTGTCCTTCCTAACAGGGTTCCATATGCTAGAAGCCAGGGTACAAGACTTGAATCTGACTTTAAACCAGACCATGACCGTTGTACCTGAAGGTTCTCTGTATGTTTTATCTATACTGGTCGTAGGGTCTTAAATGTGAACTTGGTGTGTTTACCTTCCTCTTTAGTTGTTTGTTTAAACAAATACTTGAAGGAGCATGTTTACTTGTTTGTGTTGCTTGATTTATTTATACTGTTTCAAATTATTTCACAAATATGAATGCTGGGGTGGAGCACAGAGGAGGACATCACATACCTCATAAGGTGACAGTATGCACCAATGACTGAGAGGAGCATTTGTAATACTCTCTGGTGCAGTCTCATTGTGTATCCTGGGGATCCTACCTGTATTTATAATGTTATGTAGGTTTCTGATGATTGGGAGTTGTCTCCCTTTGATCTTTCTGTTTACAAAAGTAGTCTATTTTTCTCAGGAATTTGACGAGTAGTTCATGCACTAGTCTTTCATTTTCACATGATTTTAAATCCTGATTGATGGATGTATATTAGATTTTTAATCTTTTAAATTCGGCAATGAGATCTTTTCTTTCCTGATCGAATCTATTGCAATCATTATTAATCATGACTGTATGAAGGAATGTGAGCATTTTGTGCTTAACAGGAAGCCAAGAAAATGGGAGCCACGCTTCTTGAATATGTCTGGGTCCTCCGATTTCACACAGACAGGTTAGTGTCGTTAGCTCTTTTAGTTGTTAAATTGCTTGCTCTTAAAAGCTACATTTTCACTTTTTATAACAAATGGCTTTTAGACTACTTTGAATTTTGAGGCCATTTAGACCTAATTTTGTATAAAACAGTAGATATTGATAAATATGGTCGAATTGAACATGTAGATAACTCAATTAAATAATACTTGGGGATGTTCTATAAAAATGTTACCTAACAATTTCAGAATGGTCTGTCATGCTGTTTTGTTTGCTGTTTCCATGGTGATCCTCTCTGTTCCTGTCCATTTTCTACTGTACGACCTTCAAACTGAGGTCATGGAAATGAAGAGTTGGCTGCAGGGTGGGTTGTACCTAGACTTACTTTTACCATAGAACAGTATTTATCCAGTATTAAGCATGTCTGGTAATAAGCCCATGTATCACTGTTTTGTAAGAATATGAACTAGTTCTTTTCACTGTCCTATAATACTTAAATCTGCCCTTTACTACTAGCACGAAGCAGTATCATTATATGACTAGGAAAATTCCTCTTCTGTGATTGGCCAGTAAGTCTCCATCAGGTTTCGAAAAAATGTAATGTTAACCTGAAACAGACTTTCCTCTGATGTGTTAGACATGTACCTGGTTCTGTTTAAACAGACTTTTCTCTGATGTGTTAGACATGTACCTGGTTCTGTTTAAACAGACTTTCCTCTGATGTGTTAGACATGTACCTTGTTCTGTTTAAACAGACTTTCCTCTGATGTGTTAGACATGTACCTGGTTCTGTTTAAACAGACTTTTCTCTGATATGTTAGATATGTACCTGGTTCTGTTTAAACAGACTTTTCTCTGATGTGTTAGACATGTACCTGGTTCTGTTTAAACAGACTTTCCTCTGATGTGTTAGACATGTACCTGGTTCTGTTTTAACAGACTTTCCTCTGATGTGTTAGACATGTACCTGGTTCTGTTTAAACAGACTTTCCTCTGATGTGTTAGACATGTACCTGGTTCTGTTTAAACATACTTTCCTCTGATGTGTTAGATATGTACCTGGTTCTGTTTAAACAGATTTTTCTCTGATTTGTCAGACATGTACCTGGTTCTGTTTAAACAGACTTTCCTCTGATGTGTTAGACATGTACCTGGTTCTGTTTTAACAGACTTTCCTCTGATGTGTTAGACATGTACCTGGTTCTGTTTAAACAGACTTTCCTCTGATGTGTTAGACATGTACCTGGTTCTGTTTAAACATACTTTCCTCTGATGTGTTAGACATGTACCTGGTTCTGTTTAAACAGATTTTTCTCTGATTTGTCAGACATGTTCCTGACTCTGTCTGATTTACAGATGTTGCTGATAAAGCTGTTGATAAGGAGTCCAGGAAGTTGGCTGTCCAGTGTCTGATGCTGTTAGAAAATGTCATTAAGAAGGTTAGTGTCATTAGACATACTGGTAATAACAATTTCTGTAGTAATGATATGGAGATATCTTGGGAGTTTACACACATTGCTTAGACACTCTATTGTCTACTTCTATTTAACACAAAAGGATTGTAGAAATACATGATTTATTTACAATCTTGCTTGGTTAACTATGTTTCTTCTTTTGCCATGAGCTCATTGTTAACTTTCGTCTGTCTGTACAAATTTCACATTAATGATGATTTGTTAGTTACTTCAAACCAGCATTGTCAACATTTTCATACTCGGTTCGAGTCGTATTGCTCCTGGAAGAAAATATGATAATGGGTGACTGATTGATATTCACTACATCTTGGAATGAGATTTGATCAAATGTTTGAGATATATGTTTAGTTTATGTAATTTCGTAAATATGGACCTGTTAGGGAGAATATTGTCACTCCTCCTTTTGTGTTAGCATGTTTTGTTATCCCTACTTTTGTGTTAAACTTTGTTACCCCTACTTTTGAGTAAAGCTTTGTTACCCCTACTTTTGTGTTAAACTTTGTTACCCCTACTTTTGTGTTAAGCTTTGTTACCCCTACTTGATGTTAAGCTTTGTTACCCCTACTTTTGTGTTAATCTTTGTTACCCTTCCTTTTGTGTAAAGTTTGTTATCCCTACTTTTGTGTTAAGCTTTGTTACCCCTACTTTTGAATAAAGCTTTGTTACCCTTCTTTTGTGTTAAGCTTTGTTACCCTTCCTTTTGTGTTAAGCTTTGTTACCCTTCCTTTTGTGTTAAGCTTTGTTACCCTTCCTTTTGTGTTAAGCTTTGTTACCCTTCCTTTTGTGTTAAGCTTTGTTACCCTTCCTTTTGTGTTAAGCTTTGTTACCCTTCCTTTTGTGTTAAGCTTTGTTACCCCTCTTTATGTTAAGCTTTGTTACCCCTTCTTTATGTTAAGCTTTGTTACCCTTCCTTTTGTGTTAAGCTTTGTTACCCCTACTTTATGTTAAGCTTTGTTACCCTTCCTTTTGTGTTAAGCTTTGTTACCCTTCCTTTTGTGTTAAGCTTTGTTACCCTTCCTTTTGTGTTAAGCTTTGTTACCCCTACTTTATGTTAAGCTTTGTTACCCTTCCTTTTGTGTTAAGCTTTGTTACCCTTCCTTTTGTGTTAAGCTTTGTTACCCTTCCTTTTGTGTTAAGCTTTGTTACCCTTCCTTTTGTGTTAAGCTTTGTTACCCTTCCTTTTGTGTTAAGCTTTGTTACCCTTCCTTTTGTGTTAAGCTTTGTTACCCTTCCTTTTGTGTTAAGCTTTGTTACCCCTACTTTTGTGTTAAGCTTTGTTACCCCTCTTTATGTGTTAATAAGTTGTTGCCCTTATTATTCATCATGTTCTGAATTTTCTATCCTCAGTGTCGCATTTATATTTTATAGGAATTCCAAGGAAGCGTAGATAACACCTGACCAGTTACAGATATGTGAAGTATAAATATTATGATTATCGAGGTACTTCATCAAAGAAGCTGATGTTGGAACGGTCCACCAAATCATAACTCAGTCTCGATTTCTCTGTCACATTTGTCTTCCTTGAACCACAGTGACACTGTGTACTGTATACAATAGCTTAATCAAAGATGGAGCCAGTTGACTTGGATTTACATAAAGTACAGATTATGATGTGACCTCCAGGCAAAAAATTAGAACTTGTCAGTATCAGATGTGACATCCAGTCAAAGATGAGAATTTTTCAGTATCAGATGTGAATTCTAGACAGAAGACGAGAACTTTTTCAGTCTTTGTCAGTATCAGATGTGACTTCCAGTCAAAGATGAGAATTTTTCTGTATCAGATGTGAATTCTAGACAGAAGACGAGAACTTTTTCAGTCTTTGTCAGTATCAGATGTGACTTCCAGTCAAAGACTAGAATTTGTCAGTATCAGATGTGACTTCCAGACAAATGATGAGAACTTGTCAGAATCTGATGTGACTTCCAGTCAAAGATTAGAACTTGTCAGAATCTGATGTGACTTCCAGTCAAAGACTAGAACTTGTCAGAATCTGATGTAACTTCCAGTCAAAGACTAGAACTTGTCAGTATATGATGTGACTTCCAGTCAAATGATGAGAACTTGTCAGTATCAGATGTGACATCCAGTCAAAGATGAGAATTTTTCTGTATCAGATGTGAATTCTAGACAGAAGACGAGAACTTTTTCAGTCTTTGTCAGTATCAGATGTGACTTCCAGTCAAAGACTAGAATTTGTCAGTATCAGATGTGACTTCCAGACAAATGATGAGAACTTGTCAGAATCTGATGTGACTTCCAGTCAAAGATTAGAACTTGTCAGAATCTGATGTGACTTCCAGTCAAAGACTAGAACTTGTCAGAATCTGATGTAACTTCCAGTCAAAGACTAGAACTTGTCAGTATATGATGTGACTTCCAGTCAAATGATGAGAACTTGTCAGTATCAGATGTGACATCCAGTCAAAGATGAGAATTTTTCAGTATCAAATGTGAATTCTAGACAGAAGACGAGAACTTTTTCAGTCTTTGTCAGTATCAGATGTGACTTACAGTCAAAGACTAGAATTTGTCAGTATCAGATGTGACTTCCAGACAAATGATGAGAACTTGTCAGAATCTGATGTGACTTCCAGTCAAAGACTAGAACTTGTCAGTATATGATGTGACTTCCAGTCAAAAGACTAGAACTTGTCAGTATATGATGTGACTTCCAGTCAAAAGACTAGAACTTGTCAGTAATCAGATGTGACTTCCAGACAGAAGACGAGAACTTGTCAGTTATCAGATGTGACTTCCAGACAGAAGACGAGAACTTGTCAGTAATCAGATGTGACTTCCAGACAGAAGACAAGAACTTGTCAGTAATCAGATGTGACTTCCAGACAGAAGACGAGAACTTTTCAGTCTTTGTCAGTAAATAATTGGACCTCCAGTTAGAACATAAGAACATGTCAGTCAGTATCAATCTATAATGATATCACTTTTATGTACGTATCCAGTTAGCTGATTTCACTATACACCCTGTAGTGTTTTGGAGTTAGAGTTTCGATCAGCAAAGCAGAAAGTTTGTGAACTCTTCCTGCTTCAGTTTCCTTCAATGATTTAAGGGATGATTTTGTACTGAAATGGAGAGCAATGAAATTGCAATAAATAAATTTCATTAAAGTTTTGAAAAATGATGTGTTTGTGTTTAGCACCTTTTTGGTCTTTCGTTTTTTTTTAATTTATTTTGATGGAGTGAGCTTTAGTCAAACGACAGGAACTGGGTAAGCAAACTATATAGTTGTATGGGTAACCAAACTATAGAGATGTATGGGTAACCAACCTACAGAATTATACAATGTAACCGAGTACAGAAATACACCAGGTAACCAAACTATAGAGATGTATGGGTAACCAAACTATAGAATTATACAATGTAACTGAGCACAGAAATACACCAGGTAACCAAACTATAGAGATGTATTGGTAACCAAACTACAGAATTATACAATGTAACCAAGTACAGAAATACACCAGGTAACCAAACTATAGAGATGTATGGGTAACCAAACTATAGAGATGTATGGGTAACCAGACTATAGAAATCTATGGGTAACCAAACTATAGAGATGTATGGGTAACCAAACTATAGAGATGTATGGGTAACCAAACTATAGAATTATACAATGTAACTGAGCACAGAAATACACCAGGTAACCAAACTATAGAGATGTATGGGTAACCAAACTACAGAATTATACAATGTAACCAAGTACAGAAATACACCAGGTAACCAAACTATAGAGATGTATGGGTAACCAAACTATAGAGATGTATGGGTAACCAGACTACAGAATTATACAATGTAACCGAGTACAGAAATACACCAGGTAACCAAACTATAGAGATGTATGGGTAACCAAACTATAGAGATGTATGGGTAACCAAACTATAGAGATGTATGGGTAACCAAACTACAGAATTATACAATGTAACCAAGTACAGAAATACACCAGGTAACCAAACTATAGAGATGTATGGGTAACCAGACTATAGAGATGTATGGGTAACCAAACTATAGAATTACATAATGTAACTAAGTATAGAAATACACCAGGTAACCAAACTATAGAGATGTAGTGGTAACCAGACTACAGAATTATACACTGTAAACCAGGACGGAAATACACCGGGTAACCAAACTATAGAGATGTATGGGTAACCAAACTACAGAATTATACAATGTAACTGAGCACAAAAATACACCAGGTAACCAAACTATAGAGATGTATGGGTAACCAGACTACATAATTATACAATGTAACAGCACAGAAATACACCAGGTAACCAAACTATAGAGATGTATGGGTAACCAAACTATAGAGATGTAGTGGTAACCAAACTACAGAATTATACAATGTAACCGAGTACAGAAATACACCAGGTAACCAAACTGTAGAGATGTATGGGTAACCAGACTACATAATTATACAATGTAACCGAGTACAGAAATACACCAGGTAACCAAACTATAGAGATGTATGGGTAACCAAACTGTAGAGATGTATGGGTAACCAGACTACATAATTATACAATGTAACCAAGTACAGAAATACACCAGGTAACCAAACTGTAGAGATGTATGGGTAACCAGACTACAGAATTATACAAAGTAACCGAGTACAGAAATACACCAGTTTACCAAACTATAGAGATGTATGGGTAACCAGACTACAGAATTATACAATGTAACCGAGTACAGAAATACACCAGGTAACCAAACTATAGAGATGTATGGGTAACCAAACTATAGAGATGTATGGGTAACCAAACTACAGAATTATACAATGTAACCAAGTACAGAAATACACCAGGTAACCAAACTATAGAGATGTATGGGTAACCAGACTATAGAGATGTATGGGTAACCAGACTACAGAATTATACAATGTAACCGAGTACAGAAATACACCAGGTAACCAAACTATAGAGATGTATGGGTAACCAGACTACAGAATTATACAATGTAACAGAGTTCAGAAATACACCAGGTAACCAAACTATAGAGATGTATGGGTAACCAAACTACAGAATTATACAATGTAACAGAGTTCAGAAATACACCAGGTAACCAAACTATAGAGATGTATGGGTAACCAGACTACAGAATTATACAATGTAACCGAGTACAGAAATACACCAGGTAACCAAACTATAGAGATGTATGGGTAACCAGACTACAGAATTATACAATGTAACCGAGTACAGAAATACACCAGGTAACCAAACTATAGAGATGTATGGGTAACCAGACTACAGAATTATACAATGTAACCGAGTACAGAAATACACCAGGTAACCAAACTATAGAGATGTATGGGTAACCAGACTATAGAATTATACAATGTAACCGAGTACAGAAATACACAAGGTAACCAAACTATAGAGATGTATGGGTAACCAAACTATAGAGATGTATGGGTAACCAAACTATAGAGATGTAGTGGTAACCAAACTATAGAGATGTATGGGTAACCAGACTACAGAATTATACAATGTAACCGAGTACAGAAATACACCAGGTAACCAAACTATAGAGATGTATGGGTAACCAAACTACAGAATTATACAATGTAACCGAGTACAGAAATACACCAGGTAACCAAACTATAGAGATGTATGGGTAACCAGACTACAGAATTATACAATGTAACCGAGTACAGAAATACACCAGGTAACCAAACTGTAGAGATGTATGGGTAACCAAACTATAGAATTACATAATGTAACCAAGTATAGAAATACACCAGGTAACCAAACTATAGAGATGTATGGGTAACCAGACTACAGAATTATACAATGTAACCGAGTACAGAAATACACCAGGTAACCAAACTATAGAGATGTATGGGTAACCAGACTACAGAATTATACAATGTAACCGAGTACAGAAATACACCAGGTAACCAAACTATAGAGATGTATGGGTAACCAGACTACAGAATTATACAATGTAACTGAGCACAGAAATACACCAGGTAACCAAACTATAGAGATGTATGGGTAACCAGACTACAGAATTATACAATGTAACCGAGTACAGAAATACACAAGGTAACCAAACTATAGAGATGTATGGGTAACCAAACTATAGAGATGTATGGGTAACCAAACTATAGAGATGTAGTGGTAACCAAACTATAGAGATGTATGGGTAACCAGACTACAGAATTATACAATGTAACCGAGTACAGAAATACACCAGGTAACCAAACTATAGAGATGTATGGGTAACCAAACTACAGAATTATACAATGTAACCGAGTACAGAAATACACCAGGTAACCAAACTATAGAGATGTATGGGTAACCAGACTACAGAATTATACAATGTAACCGAGTACAGAAATACACCAGGTAACCAAACTGTAGAGATGTATGGGTAACCAAACTATAGAATTACATAATGTAACCAAGTATAGAAATACACCAGGTAACCAAACTATAGAGATGTAGTGGTAACCAAACTATAGAATTACATAATGTAACCAAGTATAGAAATACACCAGGTAACCAAACTATAGAGATGTAGTGGTAACCAAACTATAGAATTATACAATGTAACTGAGCACAGAAATACACCGGGTGAATAAAATAAAGAAATATACTGGGCAACCAAACTACAAGAATACAAGTCTCTGAACATTCTTTGTGAGACTATCTCAGGTTTGAATAAATGGTTTTTTTTTCTGAATTTTAGTTGAGAAAAAATTAACATACCATTATAACTGGCATTTACAATTTTGCATCGAACGCACCTTCCTGTCGAACGCATCTGCGAGCTCTTACATGTGAAGAGGTAAGAATATCTGTTACAGCGGGAAATTTTGTAAACAGAAGACGAAGATCTACAGCTATTTATTTAAATATCTCTGTAATTTGCAACAATATCAGCTATAGAATAATATTTGCACGTGTGTTAGAGAATTTATTTATTGTTTCAGTGGTGGATAAACGCTAAGACGAGGAGTGCGTGGTTTCAGGAATATGTGATAAACGTAACTACGTATACGTACTATATGCATGGTAGCAGACTCCATAATGGGCCTTGTTTTTTTTTAAAGTAGAAGTAATCTGAAATGAAATAGCAGGGATGGAATATAAAGTAACACCAGTTTTTATAGAAACAGAATAGCTAACTCGCAAATAAAATTGGGATTTCTGCACAGAGACTTTTCTACGTCATCAATGTTGTTTATAATCATTCCAATCAGTGTGAAAGTTTCATCTGTCGCGTTTGTGCACGCTCATTTTTATATGAAAAAAGTTGTTTCACTTCAGTTTGGTATCCTTATTAAAGCGATTTATATTAACAGTTTTTGAACTGACATGTAGTTGAGTTAATATCCCACAATCATAGTCGGTGCAGGAAATTGCCTCATCTAAAAATCGCCAAAAGACCATGCATTACTATGAAAACTTATGTTGATAGGTTCTTTTTTCCATCAATGGAGTTCCCAGAAGATGGAGCCTTCCTGCATCATATGCAGTCTCAGTTATTTAATCCTAAACTCTGTGAAGGACGGGTGTCGGAGAGAGCTGATCTCACCCGACAGATCATTGCCAACCTCAGACTGGCGGCTGGTTCAAACATGTAAGGATCTGATACCAACATTTCATTATTGTTTAAACATTTAACACACCTCATATTTACTTTTTTGATGTAGACTTTAGTATTGCTTTTTATATTTATAGGATGCTCTATATGTAACACCAGGAGACTAATGAATAAACAATATCGCAAGAACTACAAAATGTCTGAACTTCCCTCCCTGTCTGAATTTCCCTCTGTGTCCAAATTTCCCTCCTTGTCTGAACTTCCCTTCCTGTTTGAACTTCCCTCCCTGTCAGCATTTCTCTACCTTTACACAACTTTTTATTTGTATGTATTGTTGTCATGAAGACACTGAAGTATCAAATCAAATATTGTTAAGTTTCATACACTTTTCTTTATATGATATACCATAACATTCATTTCATAATTCACAGCGTAACACTACTACCACCAATGCTGTTATAGTGAATTGTTGACAATCTTAATAATGGAGAATTAATGAGGTCTTTCCAGTCTTCTTTAAAAGGCAACTTGACATTAATGTAGAAATCTTTTACATTGAAAGATGTTAATTTCAATGTCAGAATTGTTTTGATGACATTAAAGGAAATATGTCATTTTATGTGTATTATCTGTTTCATTGATATAGAGTATGTGTGATATTTTCAGAATATCTGCTGATAGTGCCAACCATCTCATAGGACCATTTGAACGTTCTTATGCTTCCCTGGTAGACTCTCTGGATAAAATGTCAGGTATTGGTTGGTTTAGATTTTCCGTCTGACTCTTGTGATATCAAGGGGATAAATTTCTAACATTAAATACCAACTTATTTGCAGAGTCATTATTACAACTTTAACTGATAATGGTCTCCTTATAAACTTGTTACAACAAACCATCGTGCATTATTCTTCAGGATTTGGAATCTCTATTTCAGTTGCCTTAAGTCATAGATGGCACTGGACAGAAGACTTACACAATACCTACACCAGTCATAGTTCTAGTCAAAATGATATCCAAATTTTAGAAAAGCTTGTTTTAGAATAAGTAATACAATATATACATAATATGGCTTTAATTAAAGATTGCATCTCTGTTTTCATAATTCATTTTCTGTGTTTTGCAGGGTTAAACAACTTTGCAGATGGTGCTTTAGCTTTGTGTTCCTCCCATAAAAATGGTAAGTTAAAACCACAGCCAACAAGACTGACTAAAGAAGTATTGTCGGGAATTCTGAACGGAAGCTTGATATTATTTGTGTAAACACATCTGACAATATTCAGTGTATGATAGAAATATTTTATGAGTGACAATATTAAAACTGCTCAACAAGACAAAAAGATGAAGAAATCAACAAATGGGACCTTTGTGCTGAAACTAATGCAGAGCCAAACTAAAGTAAAAACCCCATATCTGTACTATCTAACGGTGTTCCTAATAACGTTTCTGAATAAGAGGCTTCAACGTTTTCTTTAGTAGATTAATTCTAATAGGAGGAAAATGTAATATTTTGTTTCTTTTCTAGAAAGCAACAAATGGCAAACATCACTATCGATGGAAAAACTGAAAGGGATAAAATGTGTACAAGACATGATGAAGAGAAGTCAGGTAAGGTCAAACTTTGTTTATATATAACACATGTATAGCATTGTTAAACGTGACCAATATGTTTTATTATATGTATATAGGAAAAATGTTTTTTTTTGGGTGGGGGAAATATTTCTGGTAAGAAATACAACTCGGGTATTAAGAAATATATGTTTTTTAACCTGTTGTAACATTTCAGAGACATGCAGATATCTTGGTGCCTCCATCTCACAAGAATACCATTCTTTTTTCCCGAAGAGTGAAAAACATATCTAAATCTGGATTGGACAGTGGTCAATCTGGTCAGAACAACAGTTACAAGCATTCTGTTAGCAGTGGTCATCAGGAAATGGATGTTACTACTGACCGTATTACAACCAAATGCCAAGGATACAGTGATGACCATTTAACTTCATTAGACCAGAATGTGTTGTCAGACACAGCCAGACAACCCAAGAATAAATTTGAGTTTGAGGGAAGGTTTACTAGGCCTGGAAATAAAAGGCCACTGTTTTCAAATAATAATGGTAAAGTTATCTACTACACATGATTTATATATATTACAAATCGGGTTTGGAAAGTGTCAGTTTATCCTATTTTTAAAGAAGCAATTTTACAAGATGAGTGTCTAACAAAGTTCAGGGTTGAGTGAAATCTTTACATGGTTGATTTGTACTTAACATTTTCTTCAGACTAACTAATGTTGTGATTAAATTTTTAACTTGACTCTCATTCACTCTTTTTGGGTTTAATCTATTTAAAAACATTTCAGTCACGGGTTTGCCAAAGTATATCAATGTTATTTGGTGGTGGGGGATGTTGGTCCCTCAACAAAGCTTGCTTGTACGCTGCTGATAGTACTGCTGTTTTTTCTTGCATGTGGCTAACCTAATATTCATGGTATCATAGGTGGAAGTGCTTATGGTCATTTGGAAGCAGTATCAACACATTCAAGTAGTCAGTTTGGCGGACATCCAGGACACTCAAGTGATCAGTTTGGCGGACATCCAGGACACTCTAGTGGTCAGTTTAGAACACAACCTAGACATTCTAATGATCAGTTTGGAGGACAACCTGGACAATATAATGATCATCAGAAATCCTGGAGACAGGTAATAGCATCTCTCCACTTCTCTTCATGAAGTCAGACCATTTGTTTTGTTGATATGTCTAAATATAATTACCTCAGTATAAAATACATTCATCTGTATTTCTTTGTGAGACATCTGTATTTCTTTGTGAGACATCTGTATTTCTTTGTGAGACATCTGTATTTAAAATGTTAGCATTATTGATGTCAACTTTCTCAGTTCATCAGTTATTCTTTAATGATTTAGATACATTGTTCTATCTAAGGCTGAGATATAACATTGCTGTATAATTAACAAAGAGACCTAATTAATTAGAATAGACCTAACAGTTAATTAATTCATTGTAAACAATACATGTTTACATTTCAACGAGAAATCTAATGTCTGCAGTTAAAATGAAGACACCCTTAATCATATAAAAGATGTGTGTTTGAAAGAGATATGATTTTGATACTCATAATAGGTTTCTTGGGAACTAATATTGGCATTTACTTTTTCAGTGTATTAAAATGCTGTTTTGTACCAGGTTATGATATCAGTCAGTTTCTTTTCATTTTCACTTTGAATTATGAAAGAATTCGGTGGAAATATATTGTAAGCCAACATTCTTTTGTGATTGCAGCAAATTTGGAAAATTTAATAAATGCGAAGTAAAACATACCAGTTGACAAAGAACACTGATTTTCATAGTTTGTGTTTGTTGTTTTGTAATAATGACTATTTATCTGATGTACATTTACCCATTTAAATAATTGATCAACCTTCACATTGCAATCTATACAAAAACAGGAGACACCTAATCAATTTTAAACTTTATTCCTCTCAGTAAAATCTGCTGTTGATAAATTGTCGAAAATTGTTATGGTGCGTGAACATATCACTACTGACCTATGTCCCTCAAACGCCACTAAGTTTACCTATCGTGGCCAAAATAGTGACCAGATATGGGGCTCCCTACAGGGGTTACACATGGTGGCTCAAACGTAGCAACAAACTTGTTATTACTGATATCATGAAAGTTATTTGCCACAAAAGAGTTTGTTTACAGTAGTTGGTAAGAGAGTAGGGTGTAATGTGAACAATATGGAACTCTTTTTAGGGTGGAGGTATAAAGAGACCATACAGTGAAGACCATTCAGACTATCAACAGGAGGTTCCTGCTGCAACAGGGGGAGCCTTCAGAACAGCTAGAGAGCAGCTGGTCAGTATATTTACATCACAAGTTCTTCTGTACAGGTATCATTGTCAGATCTTGTCAAGGTGATGGTTACAGTGTAAGGTCAGAAAGACGTCATAGTGTATTAAGCAGCATTTCAATTTATAGCTCACTTGGCCCAAACTACAGGATACCAGGGCATCCATCATCTGTCCATCCTCTGTTAACTTTTCTTATAAATTGCAATTTGTCATGAACGACAGCAGATTTTAATTGAATTTGGTCTGAAGCATGCATAGGTGAAGGAAAATCAGTTTTATTTAAATGTTGGGTCTTGGCCCCCTGAGGTCAGAGGGGCAGGGCCCAATAGGGAAAATCTATCTATATCTTTAAAATCTGTCTTTTCCTTTAAGAATTGCAGGATCTTGTACAAAATTGGTCTGAAGCATGCTTGAGTAAAGGAAATCAGTTTTGTATAAACCATGAGCCACAGCCCCCTTGGACCAGAGGGACGGGGGCCAATAGGGAAAATAGAGTAAATTCTTTAAAATCCTTCTGTAGAAATACCTGGATGTTGTCCCAATTTGCCTGAATGCGTGCTTGGGTAAAGAGGTAAAAATTTTGCAGAAATGATGGATTTCAGCCCTGTATAGTGGAAGTGATGGAGCTCAATAGGGAATGTAGACAAATTCTTCGAGATCATTCTTCTTATGTAGGAATACCTTGATTCTGTCCTTATTTGGTGTGAGTAATGCTTGGGATGAAGGGATTAGTTTTGAATGAAGAGTGGGTCCTGGTTTGGCATCAGAGTGGTGGGGCCAAATAGTGGACATTGAGCAAATTCTTCAAAATCCTTATTATATTGAGAATGTAGTATTGTCACACGGTTACATGTAACCTCGTTTTGATGGAGGGACGAGTCTGTGATGGGAAATAGATACAATACAAGTATCATAAATACATTTCCCTGTGGGCTGTTGGACTTCTTGTTACTCATTGTAAGAAAGACATTTGTTTATCAGTGTATTGTTTCACATTCATGAGATATTTTGTTAATGGTGGACACTTTTGTTATTATGCATTTGAATGGATTCATTTGTAAAAGATGAGAATGCATTACTGAATAGCATTTTTATGACATAACATGCAACCAAATGGAGAATACAAAGGTAATCTGACTTTCAAAATGATGAGAATGTGGAGAGACAAAAGTGCATCTCGGACATGAGGTTTGTTTTTGTTCTCTAATGTGATATGATAATGCTTCCTATTTAGAAAAGTTCCATGTTTCATGTGTAAAATATATGATTTTTATAGAAACTAGAAAACCAGAAGAAGTATGGCAGTGGTGGTGGGGCAGTTTCTACAGCATCCTATGGTAGTGCTAGGAAGTCACTGGGCACAAGGTAAGGTTGACTTTAGTATTGTAAGGACTGCACACAAGATATTTTACACTAAGTAACTATGGAAGTGTTGGGATGTCACTGACCACAAGCTAAAGATAAGATACACAGGATATCTATATACTGCTAGGAAGTTACTGTAAACAAGTTAAGATTCTGTACATAGGATAACTACGTTAGTGCAAGGAAGTCGCTGTAAACAAGTTAAGGTACTGTACACAGAATAACTACAGTAGTTTGTTGATTATCAAATACTGACATCACAAATTTGATATCTGGAAGCCTTTTGAATTCTTAAATTGTGTTTGATGTCTCACCTCCAATTGGCCTTTACAGGAGAGCAGGTCCCAGTGGCAAATTTGTTCCACCTGTCATCAACAAGGGGGAGGATAATGGGTGAGTGTAACCATGTCAGGGCTAACCTTTTTATACTTTGTCACACACATCAACAAGGGGCAGGATAATGGGTGAGTGACACCATGTCAGGGCTAACCTTTTTATACTTTGTCACACACATCAACAAGGGGTAGGATAATGGGTGAGTGACACCATGTCAGGGCTAACCTTTTTATACTTTGTCACACACATCAACAAGGGGCAGGATAATGGGTGAGTGACACCATGTCAGGGCTAACCTTTTTATACTTTGTCACACACATCAACAAGGGGCAGGATAATGGGTGACACCATGTCAGGGCTAACCTTTTTATACTTTGTCACACACATCAACAAGGGGTAGGATAATGGGTGAGTGACACCATGTCAGGGCTAACCTTTTTATACTTTGTCACACACATCAACAAGGGGTAGGATAATGGGTGAGTGACATTATGTCAGGGCTAACCTTTTTATACTTTGTCACACACATCAACAAGGGGCAGGATAATGGGTGACACCATGTCAGGGCTAACCTTTTTATACTTTGTCACACACATCAACAAGGGGCAGGATAATGGGTGACACCATGTCAGGGCTAACCTTTTTATACTTTGTCACACACATCAACAAGGGGTAGGATAATGGGTGAGTGACACCATGTCAGGGCTAACCTTTTTATACTTTGTCACACACATCAACAAGGGGTAGGATAATGGGTGAGTGACATTATGTCAGGGCTAACCTTTTTATACTTTGTCACACACATCAACAAGGGGTAGGATAATGGGTGACACCATGTCAGGGCTAACCTTTTTATACTTTGTCACACAAACATCAACAAGGGGTAGGATAATGGGTGAGTGACACCATGTCAGGGCTAACCTTTTTATACTTTGTCACACAAACATCAACAAGGGGTAGGATAATGGGTGGGTGACACCATGTCAGGGCTAACCTTTTTATACTTTGTCACACAAACATCAACAAGGGGCAGGATAATGGGTGATTGACACCATGTCAGGGCTAACCTTTTTATACTTTGTCACACAAACATCAACAACGGGTAGGATAATGGGTGGGTGACACCATGTCAGGGCTAACCTTTTTATACTTTGTCACACAAACATCAACAAGGGGTAGGATAATGGGTGGGTGATACCATGTCAGGGCTAACCTTTTTATACTTTGTCACACACATCAACAAGGGGTAGGATAATGGGTGAGTGACACCATGTCAGGGCTAACCTTTTTATACTTTGTCACACACATCAACAAGGGGCAGGATAATGGGTGGGTGACACCATGTCAGGGCTAACCTTTTTATACTTTGTCACACACATCAACAAGGGGCAGGATAATGGGTGAGTGACACCATGACAGGGCTAACCTTTTTATACTTTGTCACACACATCAACAAGGGGTAGGATAATGGGTGAGTGACACCATGTCAGGGCTAACCTTTTTATACTTTGTCACACAAACATCAACAAGGGGCAGGATAATGGGTGACACCATGTCAGGGCTAACCTTTTTATACTTTGTCACACAAACATCAACAAGGGGCAGGATAATGGGTGAGTGGGACAGTGTAATGAAGGGGTTCCATGTGGTGCCAGGAGGGGATTTGTATTGTTTGTAATATATTCTTATGATTAAATTTCTTTAAACAAGAAAGTTTGATGGCATTAACAGTGAGAATGTTGTTCTGCTATAAACCATGAACATAAAACATTTACTCTTTTAAGTTTCTGCAGCAGTGTTTTATTCATATTTAACTCAAAACAACAAAAATAGTTGTATGTTGTTTTGATGAATTTTAGTGATAACTTTATTTTAGATCTGATGTAAATATGAACAAGGTACAGAAGTCTGTATTTGGAAAAGGGACCTCAGCATCATCTTCTTCTGATGAACCAGAGGATGAACGACTTAAGGGGATTGAACCAAAAATGATTGAGCTGGTCATGAATGAGGTACAATTGCTCTCACATCTACATCCTAACAAGTAAATTATCATCAAATGCCAATGATCTAAAACTAATTCTTGCTACACTGGATATAATAAGCAGACCTTCATAAATACCATAATACTGAAATATTTAATACATCGTCTAAGCATGATGTAATAACACAGATGTGTATTGTGCTTCGTTTCTGTCCACATTTCTGTGACTATGCTTTGTGTACATTTGGACTCCGTTCACATTTCTGTGACTGCTTTGTGTACATTTGGACTCCGTCCACATTTCTGTGACTATGCTTTGTGTACATTTGGACTCCGTCCACATTTCTGTGACTATGCTTTGTGTACATTTGGACTCTGTCCACATTTCTGTGACTGCTTTGTGTACATTTGGACTCTGTCCACATTTCTGTGACTGCTTTGTGTACATTACTGTGGTTGTGCTTTGTGTACATTAACGTGGTTGTGCTTTGTGTACATTACTGTGGTTGTGCTTTGTGTACATTACCGTGGTTGTGCTTTGTGTACATTACCGTGGTTGTGCTTTGTGTACATTTGGACTCCGTCCACATTTCTGTGACTGCTTTGTGTACATTTGGACTTTGTGTACATTACTGTGGTTGTGCTTTGTGTACATTACCGTGGTTGTGCTTTGTGTACATTACCGTGGTCGTGCTTTGTGTACATTACGGTGGTTGTGCTTTGTGTACATTACCGTGGTTGTGCTTTGTGTACATTTGGGCTTTGTGTACATTACCATGGTTGTGCTTTGTGTACATTACGGTGGTCGTGCTTTGTGTACATTACCGTGGTTCTGCTTTGTGTACATTACCGTGGTTGTGCTTTGTGTACATTACTGTGGTTGTGCTTTGTGTACATTACTGTGGTTGTGCTTTGTGTACATTTGGGCTTTGTGTACATTACCGTGGTTGTGCTTTGTGTACATTACCGTGGTTGTGCTTTGTGTACATTACCGTGGTTGTGCTTTGTGTACATTACCGTGGTTGTGCTTTGTGTACATTACCGTGGTTGTGCTTTGTGTACATTTGGACTCCGTCCACATTTCTGTGACTGCTTTGTGTACATTTGGACTTTGTGTACATTACCGTGGTTGTGCTTTGTGTACATTACCGTGGTTGTGCTTTGCATACATTTGGGCTTTGTGTACATTACCGTGGTTGTGCTTTGTGTACATTACCGTGGTTGTACTTTGTGTACATTACCGTGGTTGTGCTTTGTGTACATTTGGGCTTTGTGTACATTACCGTGGTTGTGCTTTGTGTACATTACCGTGGTTGTGCTTTGTGTACATTACCGTGGTTGTGCTTTGTGTACATTACCGTGGTTGTGCTTTGTGTACATTTGGACTCCGTCCACATTTCTGTGACTGCTTTGTGTACATTTGGACTTTGTGTACATTACCGTGGTTGTGCTTTGTGTACATTTGGGCTTTGTGTGCATTACCGTGGTTGTGCTTTGTGTACATTACGGTGGTCGTGCTTTGTGTACATTACCGTGGTTGTGCTTTGTGTACATTACCGTGGTTGTGCTTTGTGTACATTTGGGCTTTGTGTACATTACCGTGGTTGTGCTTTGTGTACATTACCGTGGTTGGACTTTGTGTACATTACCGTGGTTGTGCTTTGTGTACATTTGGACTCTGTCCACATTTCCGTGACGGCTTTGTGTACATTTGGACTTTGTGTACATTACCGTGGTTGTGCTTTGTGTACATTTGGGCTTTGTGTACATTACCGTGGTTGTGCTTTGTGTACATTTAGACTTTGTGTACATTACCGTGGTTGTGCTTTGTGTACATTTGGGCTTTGTGTACATTACCGTGGTTGTGCTTTGTGTACAATACCGTGGTTGTGCTTTGTGTACATTACTGTGGTTGTGCTTTGTGTACATTACCGTGATTGTGCTTTGTGTACCTCTTGACTCTGTTTCTCACACCTTAGTGGTTTTGCTCTGCTTTGCCTGCTGCAATACACATAACAAGCTTTTACAACACAGACAGTAGAATATCTGAGTGTGAAATTTCGATGACTACTCGGTCACATACATCAGATGACAAATGATGAAGGTGACTTACCTTTTCGATGTCATGTTATGCAATATTATATCGTTATTATGGTAACATACACTTTTAATTGTGTGCCATCATCAATAAAAGATCTTCGATTGTCTTGAAAGTAATTAACACATTATCAATAAAAATTCTTTTGTCTAGAAAATAGGTTATAAACAAATAACAAATCTTATTATTGTAGATCATGGACAATGGCCCACAGATGAACTGGAGTGATATTGCTGGCTTAGAATTTGCCAAGAAATGTATCAAGGAGATTGTAGTTTGGCCTATGTTACGTCCGTAAGTACTGTACACCTGTAGTCTATATGTAAGTAATGTTACATCTGTAAGTACTGTACACCTGTAGTCTGTACATAAGTAATGTTACATCTGTAAGTACTGTACACCTGTAGTCTGTATGTAAGTAATGTTACATCTGTAAGTACTGTACACCTGTAGTCTGTACATAAGTAATGTTACATCTGTAAGTACTGTACACCTGAAGTCTGTATGTAAGTAATATTACGTCTGTAAGTACTGTACACCTGTAGTCTGTACATAAGTAATGTTACATCTGTAAGCACTGTACACCTATAGTATGTAAGTACTATACACCTGTAGTCTGTAAGTAATGTTACATCTGTAAGTACTGTACACCTGAAGTCTGTATGTAAGTAATGTTACATCTGTAAGTACTGTACACCTGTAATCTGTATGTAAGTAATGCTATGTCTGTAAGTACTATAATGTAAGTAATGATACATTTGTAAGTACTGTACACCTGTAGTCTGTATGTAAGTAATGTTACATCTGTAAGTACTGTACACCTGTAATCTGTATGTAAGTAATGCTATGTATGTAAGTACTATAATGTAAGTAATGATACGTCTGTAAGTACTGTACACCTGTAGTCTGTATGTAAGTAATGTTACCAACATAACTATACAATGTAGACACCAACATAACTATACAATGTAGACACCAACATAGCTACACAATGTAGACACTAGCATAAATACACAATGTAGACACCAACATAACTATACAATGTAGACACCAACATAGCTACACAATGTAGACACCAACATAACTACACATTGTAGACACAAACATAACTACATATTGTAGACACCAACATAACTACACCATGTAGACACCAACATAACTACACATTGTAGACACAAACATAACTACACCATGTAGACACCAACATAATTACACATTGTAGACACAAACATAACTACACCATGTAGACACCAACATAGCTACACAATGTAGACACCAACATAACTACACATTGTAGACACCAACATAGCTGCACAATGTAGACACCAACATAGCTATACAATGTCGACACAAATATAATCATATAATAGTGACGCAAACATAAATACACAATGTAGACACCAACATAACTATGCAATGTAGACACAAACATAGCTATACAATGTAGACACAAACATAGCTATACAATGTCGACATAAATATAATTATATAATGTTGACGCAAACATAAATACACAATGTAGACACCAACATAACTATGCAATGTAGACACCAACATAGCTACACAATGTAGACACCAACATAACTACACAATGTAGACACCAACATAGCTATACAATGTAGACACTAGCATAAATACACAATGTAGACACCAACATAACTATACAATGTAGACACCAACATAGCTACACAATGTAGACACCAACATAACTATACAATGTAGACACCAACGTAGCTACACAATGTAGACACCAACATAACTATACAATGTAGACACCAACATAACTATACAATGTAGACACTAACATATCACTACAATGTAGACACCAACATAGCTACACAATGTAGACACCAACATAACTATACAATGTAGACACCAACATAGCTATACAATGTAGACACCAACATAACTATACAATGTAGACACCAACATAGCTACACAATGTAGACACCAACATATCTATACAATGTAGACACCAACATAGCTGCACAATATAGACACCAACATAGCTACACAATGTAGACACCAACATAGCTGCACAATGTATACACCAACATAACTATACAATGTAGACACCAACATAGCTACACAATGTAGACACCAACATAACTATACAATGTAGACACCAACATAACTATACAATGTAGACACCAACATAGCTACACAATGTAGACACCAACATAGCTATACAATGTAGACACCAACATAGCTACACAATGTAGACACCAACATAACTATACAATGTAGACACCAATATAGCTGCACAATGTAGACACAAACATAACTATGCAATGTAGACACAAACATAACTATACAATGTAGACACAAACATAGCTATACAATGTCGACACAAATATAATTATATAATGTTGACGCAAACATAAATACACAATGTAGACACCAACATATCTATACAATGTAGACACCAACATAGCTGCACAATATAGACACCAACATAGCTACACAATGTAGACACCAACATAGCTGCACAATGTATACACCAACATAACTATACAATGTAGACACCAACATAGCTACACAATGTAGACACCAACATAACTATACAATGTAGACACCAACATAACTATACAATGTAGACACCAACATAGCTACACAATGTAGACACCAACATAGCTATACAATGTAGACACCAACATAGCTACACAATGTAGACACCAACATAACTATACAATGTAGACACCAATATAGCTGCACAATGTAGACACAAACATAACTATGCAATGTAGACACAAACATAACTATACAATGTAGACACAAACATAACTATGCAATGTAGACACAAGCATATCTACACAATGTAGACACCAACATAACTATACAATGAAGACACCAATATAGCTACACAATGTAGACACAAACATAGCTACACAATGTAGACACCAACATAGCTATACAATGTAGACACCAACATAGCTACACAATGTAGACACCAACATAACTATACAATGTAGACACCAATATAGCTGCACAATGTAGACACAAACATAACTATGCAATGTAGACACCAACATAACTATACAATGTAGACACAAACATGGCTAAAAATGGTAAAAACTGAAATGAAATCTGGATTGTTTTAGCGACATATTCAAGGGGCTGAGGGGACCACCTAAAGGCTTGCTCCTGTTTGGGCCTCCAGGAACTGGTAAAACCCTCATTGGTAAGTTATTACAGGGAGAAGACTGATAAAATCCTAAACAAATAGGCCAGTCTTTAGAGGGGTGGAGAGAGAAGGACTGGTAAAACTAATAGGTTAATCATTGAGGGGAAAGGCTGGTAAAACATGTAGGTTAGTCTTTAGACGGGTGGAGAGAGAGGGACTGGTAAAACAAGTAGGTTAGTCTCTAAAGAGGTGGAGAGAGAGGGACTGGTAAAACATGCAGGTTAGTCTTTAGAGGGGTGGAGAGAGAGGGACTGGTAAAACTAATAGGTTAATCATTGAGGGGAAAGGCTGGTAAAACATGTAGGTTAGTCTTTAGACGGGTGGAGAGAGAGGGACTGGTAAAACAAGTAGGTTAGTCTCTAAAGAGGTGGAAAAAGAGGGACTGGTAAAACATGCAGGTTAGTCTTTAGAGGGGTGGAGAGAGAGGGACTGGTAAAACTAATAGGTTAATCATTGAGGGGAAAGGCTGGTAAAACATGTAGGTTAGTCTTTAGATGGGTGGAGAGAGAAGGACTGGTAAAACATGTAGGTTAGTCTTCAGAGGGGTGGACGAGAGGGACTGGTAAAACTAATAGGTTAATCATTGAGGGGAAAGGCTGGTAAAACATGTAGGTTAGTATTTAGAGGGGTGGAGAGAGAGAGGGACTGGTAAAACTAATAGGTTAATCAATGAGGGGAAAGGCTGGTAAAACATGTAGGTTAGTCTTTAGAGGGGTGGAGAGAGAGAGGGACTGGTAAAACTAATAGGTTAATCAATGAGGGGAAAGGCTGGTAAAACATGTAGGTTAGTCATTAGGTTGAGCAGTAGGTAAAATTCTCATAAGTGAATTATTAGGGGTTATGGGGGATGAGGTTGTGGTGCCCTCTTAGACAAAACAATAAAGTAACTAGTAAGATAGTGGTATTTCACTTATTAGGAGGAGCTCATAGAAGTCTGCTTGGTGAGTTGTTTGTGTTGTAGTGTGTTATTGGTGATGGGGAGGGGTGGCTAGGGGATGTGTTGTAGTGTGTTATTGGTGATGGGGAGGGGTGGCTAGGGGATGTGTTGTAGTGTGTTATTGGTGATGGGGAGGGGTGGCTAGGGGATGTGTTGTAGTGTGTTATTGGTGATGGGGAGGGGTGGCTAGGGGATGTGTTGTAGTGTGTTATTGGTGATGGGGAGGGGTGGCTAGGGGATGTGTTGTAGTGTGTTATTGGTGATGGGGAGGGGTGGCTAGGGGATGTGTTGTAGTGTGTTATTGGTGATGGGGAGGGGTGGCTAGGGGATGTGTTGTAGTGTGTTATTGGTGATGGGGAGGGGTGGCTAGGGGATGTGTTGTAGTGTGTTATTGGTGATGGGGAGGGGTGGCAAGGGGATGTGTTGTAGTGTGTTATTGGTGATGGGGAGGGGTGGCTAGGGGATGTGTTGTAGTGTGTTATTGGTGATGGGGAGGGGTGGCTAGGGGATGTTTTGTAGTGTGTTATTGGTGATGGGGAGGGGTGGCTAGGGGATGTGTTGTAGTGTGTTATTGGTGATGGGGAGGGGTGGCTAGGGGATGTGTTGTAGTGTGTTATTGGTGATGGGGAGGGGTGGCTAGGGGATGTGTTGTAGTGTGTTATTGGTGATGGGGAGGGGTGGCTAGGGGATGTGTTGTAGTGTGTTATTGGTGATGGGGAGGGGTGGCTAGGGGATGTGTTGTAGTGTGTTATTGGTGATGGGGAGGGGTGGCTAGGGGATGGTAGAAGTCTCTAATTTAGGTTGTTTTTGGAAGGGGCAGGGCATGTCAGGGCATAGAAATCTCTTATATAAATTGTTGGGGGAGACCCATTGAAAATCTTGGTTAGATAGTAAAGCTCTCACAAGTTACAAGGCGTAACAACATCCTGAGGATCTTTGTTATTGAGTACTTATAAATAAACGATGTGATTTCATTACATGTTGAACCACCTTTAATGGTAAAGTTGCATTCTCTGTTAAATCTGACACCTGGTGGGACACACATATTGTTCAAATAAGACAAGATGTCAGAATACCTAGTGGTCAATTAAGACAGGTTTAGAGAATGTTGGATGAAACATCGGTGATACCAGTAGGTTCTGCTGTGTATTGAGAATGAGAATACAGAAAACGGGGAGAGGAGTCAATGTCTTGCTTGTTTACTGTGGTGTATCGGGTTTGTTGTCAAGGTATGGATACCTTTAAGTATGCAAGGTGATTGCAGATGACTTTGAAAATGACTTCTATATCACTTATCTCAGTAGTTAGTTTGATAGTGACATGGTTTAATACCAAAGTGAAGGATGTTAGATCCTAACTCCTTAAACACCACCATTTTCATAGAAAAAGTCCCTCAATAAACAACAGGAATCACATTAATTGATGAAATCAACAATCAGTTTAGAACAAAATTGGGGGAAAAATTGTTGGTCTATAAAAATTAAGTTTAAATGGAAATAAAGCTCTGTAAACAAAGTACATCAGGTTGTGTTGTGATTGCAACTTCTTGTTCATTGGAATGAGAACAACAGAACCCAGAAGGATCTCAGCACCCAGCATTGTTTGATCTTCATTTGTTCATTAAAAGTTGGATCTTTTCCCTTATTTTATGATCTTTCATCTTATTTTCTCATAATCACATAAAATTATAGAATTCCTCTCAGCAATGGTAATCTTCAACTGTCAAACAATAAGCTATTTTGTCAAAATCCAAGGTGGCCATCTGTCGGCCATGTTTGTTTTTTGGATCAAAGATCCATCAGGTGTTTCTCAAGAAACAGCAACAATAAGAATTATTTAAGGACTGACAGATGGACTAAAGACGTAGAGAGCGATTAGAATGTCTCACCATCTGATGATGGTGGACTTGATACCAGTAACTGATGACCAATGTCACACAAGTGCTTGAAGCCTGACGTTACAATATTGTATTGATTTTTGAACATTGTGATGATTCTAAGCATGTGTAATGAATGCTTAATGTATACAGTAAATAATTTGTTTGGATGATGACTCTCTTTCAGGGAAGTGTATTGCCAGTCAATCAAAGTCTACATTCTTCAGTATTAGTGCATCCTCATTGACATCTAAATGGGTGAGTTTTTTACTGAACTGTTCTAAAATATCTGCTATTTTACAATAATCTGACAATATTTCTGGAAAAAAAATCCTTCATTGTTCATTAATTTTGATATGAAATATTTTTTTCTGGTTGAAGTACTAGATAAGACCTTTCTTTCTGTGATAGGTAGGCGAGGGAGAGAAAATGGTGCGAGCTCTGTTTGCTGTGGCGCGATGTCACCAGCCTGCTGTTGTGTTCATTGATGAAATTGACTCCCTCTTATCCCAGAGATCCGACGGTGAACATGAGGCGTCAAGACGAATCAAAACTGAATTTCTTGTCCAACTGGTCAGTGATCTGTATAAATTTGATGTCTTAAAACACACACTTATGATACCTTACCCATAGAACCTTGATTTAGAGAGAGCTGTTTTCATCTTATCTTTCCTTCCACACTTCTGTCACACTTCTTCTCCTTCCCTCTAGGAGTTGTATTTGTGGACGTAATTAATTCAACTTTCACACTCATTTACTCTTTAAGGTACCCTTTTGTCAAGGTCAAATATGAAGGTCATATACTGTACACCTATGGTTTCAATCTACAGTTCTTTAATGTCAACTAATAGTAGAGAATAAAGGACACATTGTTGAAACTTTTCAAAACTTGTTTTAATATCTCATTTAAGCATTCTGGTTTTTTTTCAATGCAGTTGGATGAGTTAGATCTCCAGTGTGATACAGAACGATATGAGAGATATTGAGAGAATTTTGTGTCTTCGTTGAAAGGATGGTGCTGCTACCTCGTTGACAATAAGAGAATTTTGTGTCTTTGTTTAAGGATGGTGCTTCTTTGTCCTTGGTAATAAGAGGACTTTGTGTCTTTGGTTGAGAGGATGGTGTTGCTACCTTTTTGATAACAAGAGAATTTGGTGTGTCTTTATAAGGATGGTGCTTCAACCTCATTGATAACAAGAGAATTTGGTGTGGCTTTACAAGGATGGTACTTCAACCTCATTGATAAAGAGAATTTGGTGTGGCTTTATAAGGATGGTTCTTCAACCTCACTGATAACAAGAGAATTTGGTGTGTCTTCATAAGGATGGTGCTTTAACCTCACTGATAACAAGAGAATTTGGTGTGTCTTCATAAGGATGGTGCTTCAACCTCATTGATAACAAGAGAATTTGGTGTGTCTTCATAAGGATGGTGCTTCAACCTCATTGATAACAAGAGAATTTGGTGTGTCTTCATAAGGATGGTGCTTCAACCTCATTGATAACAAGAGAATTTGGTGTGTCTTCATAAGGATGGTGCTTCAACCTCATTGATAACAAGAGAATTTGGTGTGTCTTCATAAGGATGGTGCTTCAACCTCATTGATAACAAGAGAATTTGGTGTGTCTTCATAAGGATGGTGCTTCAACCTCATTGATAACAAGAGAATTTGGTGTGTCTTCATAAGGATGGTGCTTCAACCTCATTGATAACAAGAGAATTTGGTGTGGGATTGTTTCAGAATGGTGCTGCTTTGTTGTGGATAACAAAAGAATGATTTTGTATGTCTTTGGTTGAGAGGATGGTGCTGCTACCTCGTTGATAATAAGAGAATTTTGTGTCTTCGTTTAAAGGATGGTGCCTACCTCGTTGATAATAAGAGAATTTTGTGTCTTCGTTTAAAGGATGGTGCCTACCTCGTTGATAATAAGAGAATTTTGTGTCTTCGTTTAAAGGATGGTGCCTACCTCGTTGATAATAAGAGAATTTTGTGTCTTCGTTTAAAGGATGGTGCCTACCTCGTTGATAATAAGAGAATTTTGTGTCATCGTTTAAAGGATGGTGCCTACCTTGTTGATAATATGAGAATTTTGTGTCTTTGTTTAAAGGATGGTGCCTACCTCGTTGATAATAAGAGAATTTTGTGTCTTTGATTAAAGGATGGTGCTGCTACCTCGTTGACAATAAGAGAATTTTGTGTCTTTGTTTAAAGGATGGTGCTGCTACCTCATCAGATGACAGGATTCTTGTGATAGGAGCTACCAATAGGTAGGTAATATCTTAATAATAACACAGATAGCTTAAGTTCCAACACAGAATGTTATGATCCAGTTATTTGTCTAATAGAAGTTGAAATCCTTTATTTTACATGTACAGAATGATAAACCATTTCTTTAGAAGGATTGACATGGTTCTAATTAGAGTCTAGTGAGTCTGTTTCTTTCCACTGATAGTCTATTGCTAGTTTTATCTAAACACAAACAAAACCAACTTTGAAATGAGAGAACCAACAAATAGCCATGACAACCAAAGTTCTCTTCCATCTAGACCCCAGGAGATTGATGAGGCAGCAAGGAGGAGATTTGTGAAGCGACTCTACATCCCCCTACCTGAGTCTCAGGCCAGACAGCACATTGTCCTCAATCTCTTGGCCCAGCAACGGTATCAACTCACCGAGAGTGAACTCAAGGTCATTCAGGATAGATCTCAAGGTCAGCTGTCTTTGGTCACTGATTCATATACATTTTTTTATGTCTTTAACTTTGGTCACCGTTGATTATTTCAATGTTGATGGATTCAGTTATGTTATGTAACTTCAATTTTTTACCTCAAATATTCAAACTCTGATCTGACCCAGGATCAAATTTGTCTTGTTAGGACAGTAGAACACAGAAGTATCCACAAAAAATATTGTTTGAATACATCCAGAAGTTTTCAAACTAACAGTGTTTACAGTCAAGATGGTGGTGTAAACATCAACAATAAAAAAGACAGATTTTTTGACAGTTTAAGTATTGTGTTTGGTTTAATATTCAGTTATATAGCATGCTTCTTTTTATTGCTAATGTAAGAAACATTCCAAATTTTCCCACAAATTGCCATGTCTAACAGTTAATCAGTTTTTTGTGTTACACAGAAATTGAATATCTGACTGAAAAAAAAAATTGATGACTTATGATTTTTAACATCATCATAATTGTTTCTACTGGTTTTGGTCAAATCTATGTGAACAGAGTACATGACAGAAGTAAAGTGAAATATGAGATCTGATTTGTACTAGATTGCTTCACAATAAACTTTAATTTGCTAAAAACACCCTCCACTTTATTTTTCAGGCTATTCTGGAGCAGATATGGCCAGCCTATGTAGAGAAGCAGCTATGGGGCCCATCAGAAGCATGTCCTTTGGTGATATAGAGAGTATATCAGCTGATGAGGTAGGTACTGTTAACAGTGTCACTGCCACTTCCCAGACTTTGTATAATGAGGTGAAGCCATAACATCAATTGTACTCTACTCAAAACAATGAAACTTTCATGGATTTTTGCTGATTAGATAACAACAGGAATTGAAACTTTTAATGCTTTCAGGATTTCCTTTTATAAACGGCAGAATTTTACTGAATGGGAAAATGATTGTAAACAAAATTATATATTGTAAATAGAACATCCAATCTGATTGTATCACTCAAGGCATTGATCATTTTTCTTACAGGTGCGCCCAATTATATTTTGTGACTTTGAGGAAGCTTTCCTGCAAGTTAAAGCCAGTGTTTCTGACAAAGACTTAGATTTGTATATAGAGTGGAATACAATGTATGGAAGTGTGGGTGTGGGGAAATAACATTTTAATGCAAAACAAAAGATAAAAAGGATGAGAAACAGATAAGAAGGTTGGGACAGGAGGAGTTACCTGTAGCATGGAATCATGGAGGTAAACCAAATCAGATGGTAACCAAAGGCATTACCCATTTACAGAGGAGATGTAACAAAGGTGTAGCCCAGATCTGAAGGTAACCATTGGGATAGCAAGTTACCATGGTGAAGGTAACCATTGGGATATTAAGTTACCATGGTGAAGGTAACTAACTGGGATAGCAAGTTACCATGGTGAAGGTAACCATTGGGATAGCAAGTTACCATGGTGAAGGTAACCATTGGGATAGCAAGTTACCATGGTGAAGATAACTATTGGGATAGCAAGTTACAATGGTGAAGGTAACCATTGGGATAGCAAGTTACCATGGTGAAGGTAACCATTTGGTTAGCAAGTTACCATGGTGAAGGTAACCATTGGGATAGCAAGTTACCATGGTGAAGGTGACTATTTGGATAGCAAGTTACCATGGTGAAGGTAACCATTGGGATAGCAAGTTACCATGGTGAAGGTAACCATTGGGATAGCAAGTTACCATGGTGAAGGTAACTATTTGGATAGTAAGTTACCATGGTGAAAGTAACCACTGGGATACCAAGTTACCAAGGAGTTGTAACAAAGATGTAACTCTGATATGAAGGACCACTGGGTTACCAAGGAGTTGTAACAAAGATGTAACTCTGATCTGAAGGTAACCACTGGGGTTACCAAGGAGTTGTAACAAAGATGTAGCTCTGATCTGAAGGTAACCAATGGGAATTGGTGGGAATCTAAACCTGGGTGAGGACTTATTACAATTTGTTGAAAATGAATCAAAGGTGATTTCACAGAAGTACAAGAAACCAGGAGATTTTTGATTTGTTACTTGTTATAAGAGAATTGAATAAAACGTTATTGCATGTGCTGGCATTGTTTATTATTTCTCTGTTGTTAAACGTTACGACATCGTCACTTAGATGTAGATGTATGGATATCATTACTTAGGTAGCAGTACACATTTTCTCGGTTTGGCCATGGGTGATTTTTTTGCTCATTAGATTACCCCATTTTAAAGGGTTATTATTTAAAAATGAAAAAAAAACATCCTTGCTAAAATTGGTCCTGTCATGTTAAAGTGGACAATGTGGGGTTTCATTTTTCAGGATAATATTTTAGCTTTGTGTTGGAGATTACTATTTGGGCAGTCTCAAATCTGTGTCTACGCACCAAAAACTAGCTTTACAGGAAGTGAAATTTTCATAGTGTTTACATGTGGTCATGTTATGAAGAATTTCCGAGTTGGAATTTGCTGAAATGTAAGTACTTTGTTACCATGACAGTGTTGTTGATTGTAAGATAGGTGTTTAGAATTAAATTTCTCCTAGAAAGTAGTGTTAGGTTGGAATTAGCAGTATTTTTGCATTCTTAGCATTTTTTCAGTAGGTAACCATGACAATCAAATGTCAGAAATCAGGATATTTTTTTTTTTACACAAATTTCATGTCTACTGTTAATGTAATTGTTATGTAGTTTATGAATATATATACATGTAACGATGTATTTTTCATAACTAATCTGCTATACCTGTATATCTCAAACATGACAAATACTATCAGGAAAAATGCAAATTAACTGTTTACTGCTACCAAAGATGTAGATGTGTGGATATCGTCACTTAGATGTAGATGTATGGATAATGATATCGTCACTTAGATGTAGATGTGTGGATATCGTCACTTAGATGTAGATGTATCGATAATGATATCGTCACTTAGATGTAGATGTGTGGATATCGTCACTTAGATGTAGATGTATGGATATCGTCACTTAGATGTAGATGTATGGATATCGTCACTTAGATGTAGATGTGTGGATATCGTCACTTAGATGTAGATGTATGGATATCGTCACTTAGATGTAGATGTGTGGATATCGTCACTTAGATGTAGATGTATGGATATCGTCACTTAGATGTAGATGTATGGATATCGTCACTTAGATGTAGATGTATGGATATCGTCACTTAGATGTATTGATATCGTCACTTAGATGTAGATGTATGGATAATGATATCGTCACTTAGATGTAGATGTATGGATATCGTCATTTAGATGTAGATGTATGGATATCGTCACTTAGATGTAGATGTATGGATATCGTCACTTAGATGTAGATGTATGGATATCGTCACTTAGATGTAGATGTATGGATATCGTCACTTAGATGTAGATGTATGGATATCGTCACTTAGATGTAGATGTGTGGATATCGTCACTTAGATGTAGATGTATGGATATCGTCACTTAGATGTAGATGTATGGATATCGTCACTTAGATGTAGATGTATGGATATCGTCACTTAGATGTATTGATATCGTCACTTAGATGTAGATGTATGGATAATGATATCGTCACTTAGATGTAGATGTATGGATATCGTCACTTAGATGTAGATGTATGGATATCGTCACTTAGATGTAGATGTATGGATATCGTCACTTAGATGTAGATGTATGGATATCGTCACTTAGATGTAGATGTATGGATATCGTCACTTAGATGTAGATGTATGGATAATGATATCGTCACTTAGATGTAGATGTATGGATAATGATATCGTCACTTAGATGTAGATGTGTGGATATCGTCACTTAGATGTAGATGTATGGATACCGTCACTTAGATGTAGATGTGTGGATATCGTCACTTAGATGTAGATGTGTGGATATCGTCACTTAGATGTAGATGTATGGATATCGTCACTTAGATGTAGATGTATGGATATCGTCACTTAGATGTAGATGTATGGATATCGTCACTTAGATGTAGATGTATGGATATCGTCACTTAGATGTAGATGTATGGATAATGATATCGTCACTTAGATGTAGATGTATGGATAATGATATCGTCACTTAGATGTAGATGTGTGGATATCGTCACTTAGATGTAGATGTATGGATACCGTCACTTAGATGTAGATGTGTGGATATCGTCACTTAGATGTAGATGTGTGGATATCGTCACTTAGATGTAGATGTATGGATATCGTCACTTAGATGTAGATGTATGGATACCGTCACTTAGATGTAGATGTGTGGATATCGTCACTTAGATGTAGATGTGTGGATATCGTCACTTAGATGTAGATGTATGGATATCGTCACTTAGATGTAGATGTATGGATATCGTCACTTAGATGTAGATGTATGGATATCGTCACTTAGATGTAGATGTATGGATATCGTCACTTAGATGTAGATGTATGGATAATGATATCGTCACTTAGATGTAGATGTATGGATAATGATATCGTCACTTAGATGTAGATGTGTGGATATCGTCACTTAGATGTAGATGTATGGATACCGTCACTTAGATGTAGATGTGTGGATATCGTCACTTAGATGTAGATGTGTGGATATCGTCACTTAGATGTAGATGTATGGATATCGTCACTTAGATGTAGATGTATCGTAACTTAGATGTAGATGTATGGATATCGTCACTTAGATGTAGATGTATGGATATCGTCACTTAGATGTAGATGTATGGATATCGTCACTTAGATGTAGATGTATGGATATCGTCACTTAGATGTAGATGTGTGGATATCGTCACTTAGATGTAGATGTATGGATAATGATATCGTCACTTAGATGTAGATGTATGGACCATGATATCGTCACTTAGATGTAGATGTATGGACCATGATATCGTCACTTAGATGTAGGTGTATGGATATCGTCACTTAGATGTAGATGTATTGATATCGTCACTTAGATGTAGATGTGTGGATATCGTCACTTAGATGTAGATGTATGGATAATGACATCGTCACTTAGATGTAGATGTGTGGATATCGTCACTTAGATGTAGATGTATGGATAATGACATCGTCACTTAGATGTAGATGTGTGGATATCGTCACTTAGATGTAGATGTGTGGATAATGATATCGTCACTTAGATGTAGATGTATGGATATCGTCACTTAGATGTAGATGTATGGATATCGTCACTTAGATGTAGATGTATGGATATCGTCACTTAGATGTAGATGTATGGATATCGTCACTTAGATGTAGATGTATGGATATCGTCACTTAGATGTAGATGTATGGATATCGTCACTTAGATGTAGATGTATGGATATCGTCACTTAGATGTAGATGTATGGATATCGTCACTTAGATGTAGATGTATGGATATCGTCACTTAGATGTAGATGTATGGATATCGTCACTTAGATGTAGATGTGTGGATATCGTCACTTAGATGTAGATGTATGGATAATGACATCGTCACTTAGATGTAGATGTGTGGATATCGTCACTTAGATGTAGATGTGTGGATATCGTCACTTAGATGTAGATGTATGGATACCGTCACTTAGATGTAGATGTATGGATATCGTCACTTAGATGTAGATGTGTGGATATCGTCACTTAGATGTAGATGTGTGGATATCGTCACTTAGATGTAGATGTATGGATAATGACATCGTCACTTAGATGTAGATGTGTGGATATCGTCACTTAGATGTAGATGTGTGGATATCGTCACTTAGATGTAGATGTATGGATACCGTCACTTAGATGTAGATGTATGGATATCGTCACTTAGATGTAGATGTGTGGATATCGTCACTTAGATGTAGATGTGTGGATATCGTCACTTAGATGTAGATGTATGGATAATGATATCGTCACTTAGATGTAGATGTATGGATACCGTCACTTAGATGTAGATGTATGGATATCGTCACTTAGATGTAGATGTGTGGATATCGTCACTTAGATGTAGATGTGTGGATATCGTCACTTAGATGTAGATGTATGGATAATGATATCGTCACTTAGATGTAGATGTATGGATAATGATATCGTCACTTAGATGTAGATGTATGGATAATGATTTCAGCTTTCACCTTAAATAATCATACTTTTTGTATATCTCGGAATGCTTGTGTGCCAGATATTGAGGATGGTGCCCTGCTCACCCTTGCCATGTTGTTTCTTTTCGTTTTTGTTTTTATGGCCATAATTTTGTGAATGTGTGTCATAAAAAGATAATTGAATAAGATATTATAGTAGTTAGCAGTAGTGGATCAGAAAGTGCCTTTATAACGGCCCTGTACGACATTGACCTTGCAGTATGTAACAAATAGATGGTGTCTACGCAGACATATAACCGACGTGGCTAGAACTATTTTTCCAGCAGGGGTAATTACAACTTGTACATATTGTCATATCTTCTCTGTGATCTCTGAAAATGGTGTGTTGTGATAATGACTTGATTTACCAAATTTAGTCTGAAACAACCATTACTGGAAGCTATCAGATTTTGAACAAGTTGATGACTTTCTCTTGATGGGGTCACAGATCAGGATTTGTGGTTTTACTTGAAAATGTTTCTCATGATCTCTTAAAAAATTCGTACAAAATATTTGGTCTGAAGATAAAAATGCTGGTTTTCTTGTGTGAAGAGAACTGTTCAAAAGGATTAACTATGCGTTTCTCTTCGAGACCTGATTGATTTAATCAGGAACTTTATACAGAGTAAATAAAGTAACTATTATCTGGGTGTCCAGTCCCACTAATCATGTGACCACGGGGACTGGACATGGTTCGGTTAGGAATAATCCGATGTCCAAATACGGACTTGTCTGTTTGTATACACTTCATCCATCACCTGGAATCTCACGTACCTGTACAAACAAGCAAGAGAACACTCGCGTCGACAGAAGCAGCATTGATTGAATACAAGTGTGACGAAATGCTGTACTTATGTAATACAGAATTAAATCCAGAAGTAATGTGTCTTTTGTCCAGTACAACGAAGTAGATCTTGATGTCAGGATCAGGCCTTATTGACGAACGATGCTGAATCACGGTGCAAACGACGAATCGGAAATTACGTATATGTGGATGTACTACAACCTCGAGCAGTCATTCTTTTGCTGAAAACACGGAACAAAGGCACGTTCTTCAGTCTTTAGGATGCCAACGTTAGTGATGCCGTTTGATGGTCGACCATCTGATCACGAAGGTTCCGACACGGACAGTAAAAATACCGATTCTAGAATGGGTTTGAAGGAATCATTAAACCCAGTTTTGTGGCTACTTCGAATGACAGGTCTGCTTTTCGGCGTAACCCTGTATAGTCCGTGTCGAAAACCTTCAAAGGCGGATATGCTTACCAAACGCTGCTGTTCTCCCAGTCTTGTGTACGGAGTCTTCGTCGTCTTTCTGTTGTGGTCCAACGTCGCACTCTCGCTGTGGTCGTTTCGTGATATGACAGCTTTTGACGGCGTTGTTTGTAATCAAATCATCACCTCGACTTGGTTCTTTCAGGTGGCAAGTACAGCATTAGGCAATGTCTGGCTTAGTAAACGCTGGAACAGAATCTTCACTGCCTGGGACAAACATGTGATATCAATGGACCCTGGTCTTGCGATTGGAAACCGGCGATCCGCTATTGTTGCAGCTGTTTTGTATATAGTTTGGTTAATGGTAGAGTTTGGATTCGTGGGCATCGGGGCATACTTACTGGAAGGTGGTGGAATAGGATCAGGCGGTTCATTCACCGATCAGCACCATTTCAATATGTTTTTCCAGTTTCTGTTCGTTTTAATTTTCTTCTATTTTATTTCTGCTTGGTATTTGATGACAGCTGTGTTTACTATTTTGGCCTTTGGACTTTACCGGGCGTTTAACACATTCTCTAAACGTCTTGAAGAAAATTTCGTCGATGGAAAATTCAAGGGTGACGTTGAACAACTTCGCCAGAAATATGGCAGCCTTGTCCAGCTGCTCGGAGATGTTGACGGTATGGTTTCCATGTACGTCATGGTAATCGTCGGAACCATCATCCCCCTCATCATCTTCACTCTTTACTTCGTCCTCTTTGAGAGCATCGACACCTACTCCTACATGGCGACCTGGTGGTCTGTATCTCTCAGTCTCATCCAGATCATGTTGGTGTTCATTGGTGGAGGTTTGGTGAATCACGTGGTAAGGCCATTAGTCCGTAAAACACGGGCAGTATAACTTAATTATACACATTACGATTCATACGTCATCCGTACTGAAATCTATAAAAACTACTGGAATTACTAGATACGTTTATCATAACAAGAGTGTTATGCTGTTAATAAACATGGTAAATGCGCTGCGTAAAGCGGCCTTCTTGTTGAACAGGAGGTGAGAAAGAGAGGTCCCGCTCTCTGGTATATCCCATGTATGTTTATATCATATGTGAAATTTAGTTGTATAGCAGATTTTTAAAGTTTTATGACGATCAACATGGCAAGCAATGTTATAATTTATACAGATGTTACAGTGGTCAGTGACCCGGGTTTGGCTTGTCTGACCTTCAGATCAACATACACGAATGTCTAAAATAGACTGTGTTGAGTAATCAGTTAATGTCAGAACCATAATGACAGTTTGTAACGCTATAGTTTGTAACGCTATAGTTTGTAACACTACAGTTTGTAACACCACAGTTTGTAAGGTTCGCTTCAGTTTGTAACGCTACAGTTTGTAATGCTATAGTTTGTAACGCTATAGTTTGTAACGCTATAGTTTGTAACGTTATAGTTTGTAACGCTATAGTTTGTAACGCTACAGTTTGTAACACCACAGTTTGTAAAGTTCGTTACAGTTTGTAACGCTACAGTTTGTAACGCTACAGTTTGTAACGCTATAGTTTGTAATGCTATAGTTTGTAACGCTATAGTTTGTAAGGTTAGCTACAGTTTGTAACGCTACAGTTTATAACACTACAGTTTGTAAGGTTCGTTACAGTTGTAACGCTACAGTTTGTAACGCTATAGTTTGTAACGCTACAGTTTGTAACGCTATAGTTTGTAACACTACAGTTTGTAAGGTTCGTTACAGTTGTAACGCTACAGTTTGTAACGCTATAGTTTGTAACGCTACAGTTTGTAACGCTATAGTTTGTAACGCTACAGTTTGTAAGGTTCGCTATAGTTTGTAACGCTACAGTTTATAACACTACAGTTTGTAAGGTTCGCTATAGTTTGTAACGCTACCGTTTGTAACGCTAAAGTTTGTAACGCTACAGCTTGTAACGCTACAGTTTGTAACGCTACAGTTTGTAAGGTTCGCTATAGTTTGTAACGCTACAGTTTATAACACTACAGTTTGTAAGGTTCGCTATAGTTTGTAACGCTACCGTTTGTAACGCTAAAGTTTGTAACGCTACAGCTTGTAACGCTACAGTTTGTAACACTATAGTTTGTAACGCTACAGTTTGTAACGCTACAGTTCGTAAAGTTCGCTAAAGTTTGTAACGCTATAGTTTGTAAGGTTCGCTACAGTTTGTAAGGTTCTCTACAGTTTGAAATGCTACAGTTTGTAACACTACAGTTTGTAAGGTTCGCTATAGTTTGTAACGCTACAGTTTGTAAAGCTACAGTTTGTAACGCGACTGTATGTAACACTACAGTTTGTAACGCTACAGTTTGTAAGGTTCGCTACAGTTTGTAACGCTACTGTTTGTAACACCACAGTTTGTAAGGTTCGCTATAGTTTGTAACGCTACAGCTTGTAATGCTACAGTTTGTAACGCTAAGGCTTGTAACGCTACAGTTTGTAACGCTACAGTTCGTAAAATTCGCTATAGTTTGTAACGCTGCAGTTTGTAAGGTTCGCTACAGTTGGTAACACTACAGTTTGTAACGCTACAGTTTGTAAGGTTCGCTACAGTTTGTAAGGTTCGCCACTGTTTGTAACGCCATAGTTTGTAAGGTTCACTACAGTTTGTAACGCTACAGTTTGTAACGCTGCAGTTTGCAAGGTTCGCTGCAATTGTAACACTACAGTTTGTAACGCTACAGTTTGTAAGGTTCGCTACAGTTTGTAAGGTTCGCCACTGTTTGTAACGCTACAGTTTGTAACACTACAGTTTGTAACGCAACGGTTTGTAACGCTACAGTTGGTAACACTACAGTTTGTAAGGTTAACCAAAGTTTGTAACGCTACAGTTTGTAACGCTACAGTTAGTAAAATTCGCTACAGTTTGTAACACTACAGTTTGTAAAGTTCGCTATAGTTTGAAACACTACAGTTTCTAAGGTTCGTTACAGTTTGTAACGCTACAGTTTGTAACGCTGCAGTTTGTAAAGCTATAGTTTGTAACGCTACAGTTTGTAAGGTTCGCTACAGTTTGTAAGGTTCGCCACTGTTTGTAACGCTTCAATTTGTAACGCTACAGTTCGTAAGGTTTGCTACAGTTTGTAACGCTACAGATTGTAACGTTACCTTTTGTAAGGTTCGTTACAGTTTGTAACGCTACAGTTCGTAATGTTTGCTACAGTTTGTAACACTACAGCTTGTAATGCTACAGTTTGTAACGCTACAGCTTGTAATACTACAGTTTGTAACGCTACAGTTCGTAAAATTCGCTATAGTTTGTAACGCTGCAGTTAGTAAGGTTCGCTGCAGTTGGTAACACTACAGTTTATAACGCTACAGTTTGTAAGGTTCGCTACAGTTTGTAACGCTACTGTTTGTAACGCTACAGTTTGTAAGGTTCGCTACAGTTTGTAACGCTACTGTTTGTAAGGTTCGTTTCAGTTTGTAACGCTACAGTTTGTGACACTACTGTTTGTAACGCTACAGTTTATAAGACTACAGTTTGTAAGGTTCGTTACAGTTTGTAACGCTACAGTTTGTAACGATATAGTTTGTAACGCTACAGTTTGTAACGCTATAGTTTGTAACGCTACAGTTTGTAAGGTTCGCTATAGTTTGTAACGCTACAGTTTATAAGACTACAGTTTGTAAGGTTCGCTATAGTTTGTAACGCTACAGCTTGTAACGCTACAGTTTGTAACACTATAGTTTGTAACGCTACATTTTGTAACGCTACAGTTTGTAACGCTGCAGTTTGCAAGGTTCGCTGCAATTGTAACACTACAGTTTGTAACGCTACAGTTTGTAAGGTTCGCTACAGTTTGTAAGGTTCGCCGCTGTTTGTAACGCTACAGTTTGTAACACTACAGTTTGTAACGCAACGGTTTGTAACGCTACAGTTGGTAACACTACAGTTTGTCAGGTTAACCACAGTTTGTAACGCTACAGTTTGTAACGCTACAGTTAGTAAAGTTCGCTACAGTTTGTAACACTACAGTTTGTAAGGTTCGTTTCAGTTTGTAACGCTACAGTTTGTGACACTACTGTTTGTAACGCTACAGTTTATAAGACTACAGTTTGTAAGGTTCGTTAAAGTTTGTAACGCTACAGTTTGTAACGATATAGTTTGTAACGCTACAGTTTGTAACGCTATAGTTTGTAACGCCACAGTTTGTAAGGTTCGCTATAGTTTGTAACGCTACAGTTTATAAGACTACAGTTTGTAAGGTTCGCTATAGTTTGTAACACTACAGTTTGTAACGCTCCAGTTTGTAAGGTTCGCTACAGTTTGTGAGGTTCGCCACTGTTTGTAACGCTACAGTTTGTAACACTACCGTTTGTAACGCTACGGTTTGTAACACTACAGTTTGTAACACTACAGTTTGTAAGGTTCACCACAGTTTGTAACGCTACCGTTTGTAACGCTACAGTTTGTAAGGTTCAACACAGTTTGTAACGCTACAGTTTGTAAGGTCAATACAGTTTGTAACGCTACAGTTTGTAAGGTTCACTACAGTTTGTAACGCTACAGTTTGTGACACTACAGTTTGTAACGCTACAGTTTGTAACACTACCGTTTGTAACGCTACAGTTTGTAAGGTTCGTTACAGTTTGTAACGCTACAGTTTGTAAAGTTTGCTACAGTTTGAAACGCTACAGTTCGTAACGCGACAGTTTGTAACGCTACAGTTTGTAAAGTTCGCTATAGTTTGAAACACTACAGTTTCTAAGGTTCGTTACAGTTTGTAACGCTACAGTTCGTAACGCTACAGTGTGTAACGCTACAGTTTGTAAGGTTCGTTACAGGTTCTGACGCTACAGTTTGTAACACTACAGTTTGTAACGCTACAGTTTTTAACGCTACAGCTTGTAACGCTACAGTTTGTCACGCTATAGTTTGTAACGCTACAGTGTGTAAAGCTACAGTTTGTAAAGTTCACTACAGTTTGTAATGCTACAGTTTGTAAGGTTCGCTACAGTTTGTAAGGTTCGCCACTGTTTGTAACGTTACAGTTTGTAAGGTTCGCTACAGTTTGTAAGGTTCACTACAGTTTGTAAGGTTCACTACAGTTTGTAACGCTACAGTTTTTAACGCTACAGCTTGTAACGCTACAGTTTGTCACGCTATAGTTTGTAACGCTACAGTGTGTAAAGCTACAGTTTGTAACGTTCACTACAGTTTGTAACGCTACAGTTTGTAAGGCTCGTTACAGTTTGTAACACTACGGTTTGTAACGCTACAGTTCGTAAAGTTCGCTACAGTTTGTAACGTTACAGCTTGTAACGCTACAGTTTGTAAGGTTCGCTACAGTTTGTAAGGTTCGCTACAGTTTGTAACGCTACGGTTGGTAACGCTACGGTTTGTAACGCTACAGTTTGTAACACTGCAGTTTGTAAGGTTCACTACAGTTTGTAACGCTACAGTTTGTACCGCTACAGCGTGTAACGCTACAGTTTGTAAGGTTCGCTACAGTTTGTAACGCTACAGTTTGTAACACTGCAGTTTGTAAGGTTCACTACAGTTTGTAACGCTACAGTTTGTACCGCTACAGCTTGTAACGCTACAGTTTGTAAGGTTCGCTACAGTTTGTAACGCTACAGTTTGTAACACTGCAGTTTGTAAGGTTCACTACAGTTTGTAACGCTACAGTTTGTAAGGTTCGCTACAGTTTGTAACGCTACGGTTGGTAACGCTACGATTTGTAACGCTACAGTTTGTAACACTGCAGTTTGTAAGGTTCGCTACAGTTTGTAACGCTACGGTTGGTAACGCTACGATTTGTAACGCTACAGTTTGTAACACTGCAGTTTGTAAGGTTCACTACAGTTTGTAACGCTACAGTTTGTAACGCTACAGTTTGTAACGCTATAGTTTGTAATGCTATAGT